ATTTCCACATCTCCTTCCACCAAATCTTAAAGAGAAAAGTGGATAGACCTAGAGATAGAAGAACAAGGTAAGAAGGTGAGCAAGCAACCAAGAGGTGCCAAGAGATCATGCATTGTCAAATGTTACATATGCAAGTAGCCTGGTCATAATAAGATAACCTCTAAAAAAGCCCCATTAGCCAGTTCACATGTAATATAGTGTCCTTTAGATTCATGTGTTTTTTTTTTTTTTTTTTTTTTCATGTGTTTTTTTTTTTTTTTTTTTTTACCTTTCTAGTATGCAAACTACACTTTTTTTTATGTAGCAGAGAAGAATTTTTTTTTTTTTTTTTTTTTACCTTTCTAGTATGCAACTACACTTTTTTTTATTGTTATGCAGAGAAGCAAGAGTAGTGTGTAAAGAGAAGGAAAAAAAAATCTAACAAAGGTAGAAATCAAGCAAGTACTAGTGCTGAAGTGTAGAAGCACATAAGATATTTTGAAATTTTTTGTATTTTCACTCAAGACAAAAGAAATAACAGACATTTTTTATATTTTCACATTTATTAACTTTTGATATTTTTAAAGCCTTAAAATTGGATATTGAAAAGCTAAAATCTATTTGCACCCCTTTAGTAGGTCTTGTAGAAAAATAACTCCAAATAAAAGGATCCATTGAACCATCAATGGAATTGGGTGATAAAGAACATACAAAAATCTTTTGAGCAGACTTTATAATGGTGGACATTCCGTTCTAATACAATGACATCATTGGGCGACCATTAGTATATGATTTAAATGCTTGTAAATCTATAAAATTCTTAACCTTAAAATTTCCATTTAATGGTGAAATTGCAATAGTAAGAAGAGATCAAAGACCAACTAGAGAAACCTATATGGTTGTTTGAAGGGTTCACAGCATTTGTTGCCCACCCTAATTGCAGAATAAGATGGAGCAAAAGAACAACAATATAACAATACTTACAGAAAAAGGGTTACAGTTCATGCTATCGAAAATAGCACTTTCCTCCATAGAATCAACATAGTTCCAATCTTGTGCCAAAAGAGAAAATTTGGCTAAGTCCTTACTTACTGGACTTTAGGTACATGATGCGAAGGCTCCATGTGTAGCCTTGATATATTCCTCCACATTTGGCCGAGCAGCATCTTCTACAATTTTTATTCAAGTCCTTTTCTTCCTTCTAGAAAGAGGACCTCATCCTCAGCAGTGATATTGATAACTTCCACCTCTAGATGGGATGCCACTAAAGCATTCTAGTTGGCAGTTTCATTAAGAATAACCTCTAATTGGGGAGGTGCAAAAACTTCCAGATTAAGTAGATCAAGGTGGGAATAGAGGAAGGGGTGGTAGTGGGCCAAGTTATCAATGAAGAAATTTCTATGTTTTCATCCTCTTCATCCCTAAGAACCAGGCCTCCAGTTTCTTTTTAGGTTGAGCAGAAGTTTTACTCTCCCTTTTCTTTTTCCTTTTCTCTTCTATTTTTCTTGCAAAGTCACTGCTAGTCATATCTACAGAACAAAATAGAGTGTTAAAAGTCAGTTAAAGATTGCACGAACAACAAAGTTATATGCCAGATACCTTCTTGAGTTTTTCTTATGTATAAACGCTTTTCCGAGCGAATCACATAGTACTTTAAAGCAAGCAAACCCTGGATATGGATGGGTTTCTTAGTTATTTAGCAAGGGTCTCTATGCTCATCTTCTCTTTGTCAATCAAAAACCTATCCTTACGAAAGAATGGGGTGACTCTAGACCAACGAGTGCTCACCCCAAAGTCTAATAGGCTCTTTACAGTGAAAAACTTCTCCTTACAACTTCCTTTTAAGTAACCGGTCATTCTTTCAAAAACGCAAAAATGGCCCCGAGCAGATAAATGAGGATGGTCATCCTTTTCACGATTTGTCAAACAATATAATTCATTTAAGTGAAAACTCTAAGTTAGCCTAGCGAGCAAAAATGCTTAATCCTAGCACTATTCTAATGCTAATTGGATGAGCTGAGAAACAGTAATACCGAGCCGGTTGAGGTAATTACATAAGTCTTCTTGTAAGGGAAGTCAAACATCGGCTCTTAAATCCTCCTCATATAAAATCAAGAAGTTAGGCCTTTGCTTGGAATATGCCCGAATGTTATCACCTACAATGAACAATTCAAATTCATCAGGAATTGAGTACTTTACTTAATTATGAAACCCTATTTCCTTTTTGTGCACTGGTTTTGTTCTTTTTTGAAAGCTTTTTTGGATTTTATTTGGGTACGAGAGGGATTTGAATGTCTATTTAGGTGTGGAGGAGTATTTCTATCCCTAATGGTGATGCTCGTGGCTCAAACCCTCTTAGGGATACCATGGACGCTTGGTTAATTGTTTCCATGGCGACTGACAATGGTGAGAAGGAAAACTACTCGATTTGGTGGTTTTAGAGCTTGAAGATGAAGAAGAAGAGGTTCCAATGGCAATAACTTTTCCTTTCCAGAAAGAGGGGTGGAAGAGCTCATTATGGAAAGTAAATCAAAGCAAAAAAATGCAAAATAAAAATTGAGAAAATTTACCTCCTTAAAGATGTTGTGATTACAAAGAAATTTTGCTATGCCAGCAAAGAACTTCAAATTCAAAGAAGAATACTTCATACTTCAAATTTATAAACAGATAAAGAATCTGAAGGGGACGCCAAGCAAAAGGTGGAACGTCAAAGGCACTTTCTTAATGCATAAAGTGGAAGGATGCATCATTTTAGGTACATTGATAGTACCAAGGGGTTCATCCATTAAAGACAAGACCTGAATTGACGACTAAGGCTAGAAGGCTAGATAAGAGGTCAGTGAAATAATTGACAACTAGGGCATAGGTGGAAAAATTACCAAGTGCGTAGTCAAGGCTAGGGCTGCATATGACCCGTTATAACACGACCCAACCAGAGCGACCCAGAACCCGACGGATTTGAAGATATAACGGGTTGGGCTGAGCACGTCGTCTTTATAATTCACGGGTTGAGTTGGATTACGGATTCATTAGATAAACCCACAGACCCAGCCCAGCCCATATATAAGTTATGAATTATTTGGTTGATTTGATTTGATTTGCAATTTTGAATATAAATACTAAATAATTTACATATTTAATAGATATTACCTTTGCTTTTGGAGTACATTGTAGTCTAAATTAAACATATTATATAATTATGTTACTAAGTATTTTTAATTTTACCGGTTGTATTTTTATTAGGAAATTTAATTTTTCATTGTTGATTATGATTATAATGATGATAATAATGAACATGTTAAGAAATTTAATTTTAATATTGTCATTGAAATATATTTGTAGGTTGTGAAAATTATTGTATAATTAAGATTTTTGTTAAGAAATTTAATTTTTAATATGTCACTTGAAATATATTATGTAGGTTGTGAAAATTATGTATAATTAAGAAATGAACATGTTAAGAAATTTAATTTTAATATTGTCATTGAAATATATTTGTAGGTTGTGAAAATTATTGTATAATTAAGATTTTAAGTATATTTAATTTGTTTTTACTAATCCTCTTAAAGAGTTGTATTTTATTTAAAAATAATTTTATTATTATCATTTATTTGACTCCAGGTTTACGTTGAACTCATACCCAATCCGAGTCGTTTATAACCCGCGGGTTCACGCATTTAATGGATTGGATTGGATAAAAAAATCATTGACCCGCACATATAGGTCAGGTATTTTAAATCAATCAACTCGGCCCACGTGCAGCCCTAGTCAAGGCAAGATGGGTTCAGAGAAAATTAGAATGAACGAGCGTTAAAAAATCTTGACCAAACATAAATGATTCGGATAATTTTGGGGGAACATTTGACAGGAGTAATTAATAGAATGTATTGAGCGATTAAAAGATCGAGCAATAAGTAAAATGAACCGAGGAACTAAATGAGCCGAATGATATTTCAACCAGATCAAATAAAAATAAAGCTCGATTAAGAATCATTTAAAACCATGTAGTTAATATTCAAGATTTTCGCTCGATATTTATAACCGAAATTCTTACTAGGTATTTACATCTTCAGTTACAATAAGAAGCATACTATAAATATTTATATCACGGAGGGCACATTACATTTAATAACAATCCCTAAGCATTCAAACTTTACTTCTATCACAGACAATTTTATATATTTATTTTTTTTTTTTTTTGTCTATAACCTATAAACAAGTTGAGTTTAAACTTCAATTCTTTCAAATTTAATTAGATATTTAACGAGTCAAATTTGAGCTGGAGAAAACTGGTTTTGCTCAATTTGTTAACTGCAGCAATCCATATGTCAAATGGAACGCGTGGGAAAAGGTTAAAAGTCAGAAAGCTACAGGTGGTGGATATACCTAACACTGCAGAAACCAGACGCAAAGGTGGCATCCTTCTGTAAATTGGAACTTCAAACCTAATTGTCACGCCATTGTCAAAGGAAAAGCAATTTGCAGCTGGCAGATGTGGCGTTCACTTGTCGGACTTTTAGAGGAATATGCAGAAATGAAAAAGAAATATACACATGCACACGCACATTTATGTGCAGAAATCGGTTTTTATCTTTTTTTTTTTTTTCAATTTTTTTTATGAATTTCAATTTTTTGTTTTATATTTTTATTTTTATTTTGTATTTTATATTTTTATTATTAAATATATGAAAATAATTTTTGAAAGTTATTTTAGAAATAAATTGATTACAGAATTTAAGTTTTAAAAGCATATTTTGATTTTTAAATTAACATTTTAAAAAAAATCACTTCTAAGCTTTCACTTCCATAGCAACTTATCTATTTATTAATTACTTCTAAATCGACACAGTTAATACTTCCTAAGTCATAAAAAAATTAGGAAAAAGAATAGAAAACTCAATTTCTCAAAAAAAAAAACAAAAAAAAGGAAAATAAAAACCAATAAAAAGAGTTTCTACTTTTCCTCTGTTTTAGCTTTAATATATTTATATTAAATCTCAAAAATCAAATTCAATTAATTATTTTTCCCCAGCAACAAGTACATTTTATTGAAGGAAAATCCGTATCAACAACTATCATTTTGACTTATAGAAATGGTATAAAATAATAAAATATTATACGCTAAAGAAACCGAGGATTCCGTCGAGGTAAAGATCCGGAAATAACTCGGCACTGCACAGGAATATTACATTACAGAGCAATCTGGTAAAACTTCAAGTTACAATGGAATGTAATAATGCTTTCAAGTTCTTCGCCTTTTAAACCTTTTTGTTTCCTATAAGAGATTGACCGAGAAAAATGTTGTGGGGTGGGGCCAAAAAGAGAAACAGGAAACTATATAAGCTTCACAGCTGGCAGGGCTGCAGTTTGAACCTGGCTACTGATTTAGAAGAGGACTTCCTTCTTTAACCAGAACAAAAAGACCACCATCTCCTCTGGAGATTCGCAGATCGTCATCGAGGTATGTAATAAGAAGCCAAGACCTTGTTCGACTACCTGGAATGGGAATCTTGAGTGGTGGCTGACCAGAAATGGTTCTTGCAATATTTGCTGCTACTTCCTGCAGAGGATTAAGAGATTGCTGCACGGGTGACAAATTGATTTTCTGACCAAAAATATCCAGATTTTCTGGCAGATCTATGCTGGACTTTATCTCTGGAGGTTGCAGGGTTCCCTCCTTAAATTCAACCTGTAAACATTTAAATTAGACTATACAGTTCCGGAATTCATTCATTCAGTAACAAAGTCAATACTCAAAATTTCACAGCGTTCCAAATAATTAGTTCCATTAAATGTTATAGCAAGATAATTTCAAATGATTTCTTAAAGGGAGCAGATTCTTCACTCCTGTTTTGTGAACAAAGAATTTTTTTCAGACAATTCAAGTTCCCATTAGTCAGATTGGGCTTGAAAGCTCAAAACAAAGCATAATCTCTCAAATGCATCATTCATTTTTCTCTCAGGAATTTATTATTTTTACTTATTTATTACTATTTTTATCTTTATTGTGTTGTATTAAAATATATACTGCATCAAAGACCAATCCTTAAATACATATATCAGTCTACTCGCTCAGGAATTTATTACTTCACCATCCACAAATTATAGTCCTTGGGTGGCACTGAGGTTAAGTAAAGTAATTTAAAAGAGAAAATTTTAAGTTTACCAACTTTACTGTCATTAATATTTTGGTGCAAAGGCAACAAAAAAATCACACTCAGTTATTTGAAGAGTATTATCGTCAAAGCAACATTTTGACTTGTTCACTTTTAGCTTAAAAAAGAGTATGAACTTTTTTCGCACATCCTAAAAGGAAAATAAGGACTGTTATTTGTGGATGGAGAAAATACTTGATTACTCTCTTCAATTTTTCTACTTCTTTTTCAACACTGAAGACCACCTTGTTATTGTTACCATGATTTTAAGGAGTACCTGTATTCTTGAAGGAGATCGAACTTCAAAAGAGGCAGACGCACTGAATGAGAAAGTGGCAAAAGGGCTTGATAATGTGGTTGAGTTCACAATGGAGAGATTGCTGGTATCAATTGCTTGTGATATCCTTTCAACTTTCAACAATGGTGTTGCACCCAGCGCCAGGAGTGGCAACAGCTCAGAAAATGCAGTATATCTATCAGTAACAAAAATCCAAATGAAAAACAGAACTATGATTGAGCTCAGTTACAGCGCAAACAGAAACGTGTCTGTCACCATTTTATTTTCCATGAATCTAAATATAATCAACAGCAAAAATTTGCATATGTTCACACTATTGCCCAATAATTATTACTTTACAAGAGTACCCAGGCCCTGTAGTTGGCAGATTTTATTGATATTTTCTAGACAAAACAATGACATTCAGTTTACAGACTTCCAAACAAATGACATACTTTCATCCCCAGCCCCAGTTCAAGGTTGCATCCGTGAAATGTTAGTGGAGCATAACTGATGAAAACTAAAATGAACCAATGTTTTTAAGATTATTCAAAACCTCAAGGTGAAATGAGAGAATATCAGTTGTCCCATGCAGTCAAAGCAAGAACACAATGATAACTAACACTCAATTGGGTGAACATATTTAAATTTGTACTTTGTATATAAAAGGGAGACTACAAAATTTATAGCTCTGAAGACCATACCATTACTGTAACATTGAGTACAGAAATTTTAGATGTAAATGCAAATAAGAAAGGTTAGAAGCATAGTTGTCAAAGGCATGCCAGAGCTCCAAGCTCAACTGGGCCAAAGGCCACTCATCTTCAGTGGCTTAGGCTAGCTTCATCTCTAAGGCACATGACTAGGTGGCAAGGCATAAGCACCTTCAAGGCAGCCTTGATGTGCACCCAAGGCACTTGAGGTATTTGATTTATATTACTTGCTATGGATATTTGGCCTAATGGTAAATTTTCACTTGTACTTTGCAACCTTCAGTAATTTTAGCCAATGTTGTTTTTTTTTTTTTGAAGTTACTTAATCCTGCAAACTTTTGTGCTATTATATCCTATCAATCAAATTTGAAACAAATAATAATATTCAGTATTCAACTGAATAAAAATTTAATTTTAAATTTTTAAATATTTCTTTCTCCCCCCTTGTATTGCTTCCACTCTTTCCCTTCTCTTTCTCCTTTCCCATCATCCTTCTCACTTTTTATCCCTCTTCAAATGGAAAACACCACACCACCACCAGCACTGCACACCAACAGTAAAAGACCAAATACCAAAAAATACCAAAATTTACCATTAAACCTTAATGTTCACACCACAACACTAAGAAGGAAAAGGGTAAAACGAAAGAAAAGAAATGAAAAAAATATATTTTTATTTGTTTTGTCAATAAAATATTATTATTTTTCTATCGTTGACTGATAGAGTAGAACTACAACTAAGTTTACGTATTAGGATTAAATAGTTAAAAGAAAAGGCATGGGATAAAATTGCAAGAAGTAGCAAAATTCAGGGTAAAAGCTATCAGTAGGGCTTGGATCTTTTCACTTTATGTGTGAATAATTTGGTTTCAACCACAAGATGGTACTGTCTGTACAGATAAAATAAGTTATAATTGCGTACAAAATTAACTCTTACATATCACAATGTGATTGGCAATCTAATTCCAAATTGAACTTTCTTCTCTCCTTAGTAGCAAACACCAACACTTCTAGGTGAAGGGCTTTTTTGTTCAAATTATAGATGAATTAATATCATGTGTATTTTTAAGGAAACTTACATTGGTTGCTGTCTTTTATATCTGTTGAGAGAATATATTGTAATTGTATTTCTTGTATCTCATCAATCGATTACATAGGTCTATATATAAGGAATTCCTATGTTACCTAGCTATTTAGGAATACAAATTAAAGGAAACTTACATTGGTTGCTTGATCTTTTATATATCTGTTGAGAGAATATATTGTAATTGTAATTTCTTGTATCTCATCAAACGATACATAGGTCTATAATAAGGAATTCCTATGTTACCTAGCTATTTAGAGCTATTTAGGAATACAAATCATAAACTAATTAGGAATCTAACTCCTAATAGTACTCTATTTACAACTAATCCTTAACACTCCCCCTCAAGTTGAAGCATAGATGTTAATCATGCGCAACTTGTTACAAACTACTACTTTCAGCAAAGCACAATACCATACTCAGCAACTGTACCCACTTCATTATAGTAATATAGAATCCAAACCAAATAGTAGCAGCAGAATTAAGACAACACACTTAGGTTGTCGAAACAAATCTCACTGAACCAGAAAACAACTCTCAGGGCCGTTTCAAGCTTCCATAATCAATGCCTCAAAGAGGAAGCCCACAACTCCCAAGGCTGTTTCAAGCTTCCACAATCAATGCCTCAAAGAGGAAGTCCAGTAGCGCAGATATTTAGAAACGCAGCAAAGGAAACTCTGGCAAACAGAGCACACCACTGAAGGCCAAGAACACAATGCTAACTCACTGGGGTTGCACTGCTCTCGACAACGAACAAAAGGAGAGAGTTCAAAAGAGAATTACCCGTAATGCAGCAAAAGGATGCAGTTACTAAACCCTAATGCAAAAAGGAATCCACTAGAAAATCACCGAAAATTACCTAAACCAATTGTCACAGCCAAAGGAAAAATATGTTTCCTCAGCAAATTAAGGCCAAACAACAGTAGCAGAAAGACTGCCCGACACAGCCTGTAACAGAATCGCAAGCAAACCTAAACCTATTGAATAAGCCCAGAATAAAGATTGCAACTTCACTGGGTTGCACGTCTATCTTTCAAGTCAACGCCGGAGGAGAGGAACCGGAGTGAAAAAGAACCATTGGACAGCGCCAAACGCATTGAACCAGAGCCAAGAAGAAAGAGGGAGACGCAGTGGGGGGCCATCACTTGGAATCGAGAATTGGGATATCTGGGGGAGGCGCTGATCAGCGGCTTGAGGGAATATCCTGAGGTCTGTGGTAGACAAAATACTAACTCTAGAAAGGCTTCCTAGGGTTGGTAGTGGCTGTCTCATAAGGGAAGTTTCGGGAATTTTTTTTTTTTTTTTTTTTAATGGGAAGGCTCTAATACCATGTTGAGAGGAATATATTGTAATTGTATTTCTTGTATCTCATTTCAATCGATTACATAGGTCTTTATATAAGAATTTCCTATGTTTACCTAGCTATATAAGGAATTCCTATGTTACCTAGCTATTTAGGAATACAAATCATAAACTAATTAGGAATCTAACTCCTAATAGTACTCTATTTACAACTAATCCTTAACAATATCTTGCTTGTAGATGGCTTTAGTGAAAATAATTTGCTTTTGACCATAACTTGTGCATTCACTATTTCCTTGCATTCTAGTGGGCAGATGACTTGTAATCAACTATTTTCTATAGTTATTTTTCTTTGCAATTTTCAGCTTATCATGAATTTTAGAATGCCATTACATTCAATTATTACTGTTGACAAGTTGAGAACATCATAAATGTATTTTATGTACACTTAAGAAATATTCGCCTCAAATCCCTCAAGTGCGTGCCTACACCATGCGTCTAGGCTCCAGCTTGTGTGCCCTAATTCACCTTGTGTTTTTGACAACCATGGTTAAGAGATATAGAAACACTAGTTTAGTGCCTTAAAAACAAAACGAACCAAAAAATTTGAACAGGAATTGTAATAACCTGTGTAAAGTGTTATATGGACCTATATAGGATTTCCCTCCATGTTGGTACACATATTAATGAAATTTGCATTACAACCTTACACAAAGTGAATTGCATGAACCGAACAGTAAAGATTCAGGAACTGATAGTTTTCCCTTCACATAGCATGATCTTAAGAAATTGCATGCTGCGTATTCAAGGATCACTGTGAAAGGAATCAAATAGTCTAAATGCTTAACAAGAAAACAAGGATCAATACAAGACAGAAATAACCATAAAAAATTATAAAAAAAAATCGTGAAAGATAATTCATGAAAAAAGAGAAAATGCAGGACTAATTTTTTTCTTGTTTCTAAGTGGCAATAAGAAAGGAGAGAAACAAATAAATCTGGGAAAGATTGCAAGCAAATCCAAAAGAGATCATTTGGTGTCAATAACACTGAAAACTCAAAACTTCATCCACAACTAATGATCACTATTAAAAATCTTTAAGAGATAATATTATGTGGAAACTTCAAAGTAGGTCAGTGAGACCTTATATATTTTTTAAAAAATAAGTAATTTATTTCAAAAGAAGAAGTGTTGATTATTCAATTTTCTAAAGGTGTCCTAAACCTATGGGATTTTGCATTCGTGTAATTATGAATGGCACGTGTTTCATCTTTAAAATTTAGAAGTTGTACAATTTTGGCTATTATAATTATTTTAAAATTTAAAGAGTTGGATGATGTTAGCTCATAAGCAGAATGAAGAGAGAAAATTGATTAAGAACTAATTTTACAATTAACAACACTCTTGCCTAGACATAACTATAAGAGGCTCTTGATATACTTTATCCACAATAAAATACAATAAGACTAATTGCAAATAAACCTGGAGAGCATATCTATCAGTATATCACTAGCAACATCAAGATTTTCATGCACAAACTGAGAATAATTAGGAGTGAAATTTTACTTTCTCTATTATGAAGATGAGTTGCAATATTAAGGTAGCTAAATCTCACCATCTTGAACTCTCTAATGCCAGTGTTGCACCAAAACAGTAAGGCAGCACCACTAAAGGAACTCCCCTTCAAGGGCAAAGCTAGACTTTAGAATTTCGGGAGGCCAAAATAAATTTTTCAAAAGTTAGGGGGACCAAAATGAAGAAAAAAAAATTTTAATACTAATTTATAAGGCAAATTTAAAAAAAAATTCTGGAGTTTGGGGGGGCCAGGCTCCCCCAAGTCCCCCCCTCCCTCTGCCCCTGCTCCCCTTTGACTCTTTAATATAAAATAAATTGTATATTTGCAATTTTTGCAATTGGAAATAAGTCTAGAATGATATTTTTGAAGCCAAAAAATCAATATGATACATTGCATGTCTTATATAAAAAATTAGGAAAAAGAAAAAACAGCAAAAACAAACAAGGTTGCCCAAAATTTTAGAACTTTTATAGTTTAACCATAACTTAGGATCCCATCTTAGCATTCATAATGACCGGTAACAATTTTTCCAATCTAATTCTTTTAAAACACTGAAAAAATATAAAATCATAAATTAACACAATAAGCCATTGGGCTAGCAACAAAATAACGAAATATCTGTTTATCCCCCTCGAGGGAGAAAAGAAGGTTGTTATTTGGGTCTACAGGGTAATGATATCTGAATGTCGGCTAGATTCTGTTTTAAGAGAGGCCAATTATGTGAATTGTTTGGTTAATGCTTATTATTTTATTAATGTCTAAGATTTAAAATAAATATTAATAAAAAAAATATAGATTTCATTTAGAAAAAGTTAATAAAGCTATATATATTTTTATAACATGTTCTTATATCATTGACAATACAACAATCATATAAAATACTTAAAATACCAAAACTTGTTGAGCATGATTATAAGAAATATAGGTATATATAATCCTAAAGGTACCCATTTATAAGAAATTGCTTTTTATGAACAAAATTTCTAGGTCTGCCCCTGACTGAATGTGTTGTTTCCAACATTTATCAAAAACATTACTTCATTTTGAGTTAAATATATGTTCCAAAAAACCAAATTTCCATATCATATTATCGTCACAAAGCCCCTCAAAAACTATATTCTATAACTACAACCAAATCCCAAAGAAATGATTCAGTGTCATCTTTAATAGAAACCTACAGCAAAAAGCTTTCATTCAACAGCCAACAGCGATGATCCAACAGCCAATCATTTCATCTACATATTCCTAACCTATTTTCATTTCCCTTGCACTTATTTCCTCTCAATTTAACAATTCATACTTTAATTCCAACAATGGGTAAACAAATAAAACCAACGTAATCTGTAACTAGTCCAAATTATATTTCATGCATTTAAATTCAGATTCTCATACTTATCCTTTTGCAGCTAAAGTTTCGTTCATTATACTTGTCTATTATGAAAAACAAAAAACATTTGAATTTAAAAAAAAAAAAAAAAAAAAAGCTTGGCATTAAATAGAATGATGGATCTCCTTTATTAGTATTACATATAATAATCCTCACGTGAGAGTCCAATGAGACAATTAGGCAAACTAATTATTCGGATAAAAATCACATTATATACACTACGCTCTTAAAGTCCACCATTAGTAATCCCATGAGCATAAATTGTTGAGTGTATTATAAGACAACCTATAATTGCATAATCATCCAAGAGTTAATCACCTAATACGGTTACCGCACACCCTTTATAAAAAGATATAATTGCTTTATATAGACAACAAATCTTCTAGGTCTTCGAACCCCTGAACGCCCTGAATGTGTTGTTTCCAAACATTTATCAAAAACATTTTTACTCATTTGAGTTAAATTATATGGTTCCAAAAAAAACCAAATGTCCGAATCATACCGTTCTTTATCACACCCAGATGAGATCCCGCTGCAACAATTTAACTAATAGTGTCCTATAACATACGGGCAACCACAATCCCTTAGAGAGACAATGCACTATTTACTGCCCCATGAATAGTACCATACATTCTCAATATAGTTATATAGCGCGTACAGCAAAGGAAGCCCCTAATTCATTCAATCCACAAGCCCATATTCTTAAAGGCGATGACAATCAACATCCACCAAATCTTATTTTAATAATCAATTACTACATTATTTCCGTGAACCTATTTTACATATGTCTCTTTAAAGTTCACTTATTCTCATCTCTTCCGAGGATCTTACAATATAACCCGATTACTTTAAAATTCAACACACTATTTATGCGAGCAATCAGCACTACAAATATCCGAACACACAACTGTTAATGGCACATGTAACTAATGTGCCAGACTTTATAATCATTTCATGGTCCAAGTTAGGCAATCTTACAGAAGGCCATTACTCATTACTTATCCAATTTTATTTCAGCAGCTATTAATTTTTTTCGGGTCAATCAATGCTATACATAATGTATCAATACTCACCTTATAGATACTTAGAGAGCAAAAAACATGCCTAATTGACCAATTTAATATGCAAACGAAGAAACATACAAAACATATAGCACAGACAATATATACTTTATGACACAACCGTGCGAACTTACAAACCTCAAAATTGCCCCAGTCGCACGTCAGCAGTAAACCCTACATGCCATGCAGCAAGCATACACAACTCAATTCAGCCCAAGTGTCTGAGTTGAGCAGGTTACTACATAGGCCTACTGCAACCTGAAATGGTCAACCAAACTCCAAAACCATCATTGCATAGTCCCACCACTGATCTCGCCGGATGACTCAGCACTCCTCATGCAAGACCCAACCAGATATGAGGTATCTCCATCACACTGCATAATCCTTATCGCGAACAATAATAAAGCATCTCTTTATCTAACCTACACCAACTAACACTAAAAAAAAAAAAAAAAAAAAAATTTAAAACCGTGGAACTTACAACAAAACCCAGTTGCCGTCAAGAACCTCAGCTGCATCAACAGGTGTCTGAGTTGGGTTCATGGCCTCTAACTGATTAACCAACTCCAAAACCTCAGCTCTGATCTCCGGGCTAGCCTGAAACCCAAAATTAGTCCCATAAACTGTATCTACCAAAATCCTCTTTAAGTCCCCAACATTATCATCCTTCTCCACTACGACACCCGTAGACTGACTAGTGCTACCATTGCCAGCAGCAGCATACTCCTCCTCCCACTCATCATCGCGTACCGGAGGATCCGCGTCCGCATATTTTGGGTAATCGGATTCGGTGTTGGGTTCAATCTTTTCGCCCCACTCGTCAGTGATGCTCAACGGGGTGGAGCCGGGACTAGAGTTAGGATCTGGGTTCGGGTTTTGAGATAGGTTGGGATCGGGATCGGGTTCGGGTTCGGGTTCGGGTGTGGGTTCGGAGAGGGAAGAGAATGAGATCAGAGAGGGAAACGTACGCCTTGTAGGGCTTTTGAATGAGAAATGATGGATTTTAGAGAGTCTGTTGGAGAAGAAGAGAGATGGTGAGGATTTAGAGTATGAGAGAAGAGGTCTGTCATTGAGGTTTGAAACGAAGAAGAGAGAAGAGTGTGAAGAAGAGAGAAGGGACATCCTGCAACGAGTGAATATGATTCTGTCTTTGTTTGTATGGCATCTATGTTTTTGAAAATAGGAAGATTTTATAGCTACACTCCAGGATTAGTTAAGAAGGAAAACGTAGGAAAACGTGTCCCAAAATCTTTACACAACTTTTATTTTTATTTTTATTTTTTATTCTAATTTGAATTTGCTATTAATAAATATTAATTTTTAATTAGAATTCAGCTGTTGGTATTCCTTCTCTTTTAACTAAAATGTGAGCCTGCAGTTCTCGTCGATGGTTACAAAGGAATAAAGCTCGATTTGTCTTCTTAAATTTAGAAGTACTATTTAATTTGCCTATAAATTAACTTTTTATATAATTTACCCCTTAGTACTTGCATCAAAAGAATGAAAAATCAATTTTTTTTACATTTTTTACTAATGAATATTATTTAAAATTTTGAAAATTAGAAAAGAAAATTTATTTGAGAACATAACAATAATTATTAAAAAATTATAATATCTTATATTTTATTTTCAAAATATTATAACATTAGAAAAAAAATCTAATCATCCATAAAAATTCATCTAGTGTGAAAATTAGAAAAGAATAATTTCTTATCTTAGCAAACATTCAAACTAATCATAATTTAGTTAACAAAATTCTATCCAATGTATCTCTTTATTTAATTTATACTTCTTCTGGAAGGTAATAGGTAAGTACTTACTATCAAGCTGAGTAAGAATATTGATTATATGAATACACCTTAGTTGTTTTATATTATATACTGATGTTTCTTTGAGATCTATGACTTTATTATATAATGTTATGGTATCTAAAAATTAAAAATTATGCATTTAATTATTTTTAATTATATTTATATTGTTGATCCAATTTAATTATTTTTAATTATATTTTAATTTGAATTAAATATTATTTTTTTATTTAAAATCGGCCTTTTATTTGTTTGGCATAAGTTTACAAAATTTTGATTTTTGGATAAATTAAATAGTAATTCTAAGTTTAGGAGGCAAATTAAGCTTTATTTAAAAACAACAATGAAGTATGGTTACAAGTCTTTTATAAATAAATATTTTCACAGTTGGTTGTCCACGTTTTGAAAGTTTTACAAATCTTCCTAAACTTAACGTTCACCTCAGACTTGGCCATATTACGGTTTCGGGAATCGGAACCGTCGGTTCGAACCGGCCCGGAACTGTACCCGGAACCAGTGAGAATCGGAACCGGGACGAACCGGAACTGGAACCGGAAAAATTCGGTTCAGTTCCGATTCCAGCAAATAAGGAACTAGAACCGGCGGTTCCAGAGAACCGGTCGGAACCGGACTGGAACCGCCGGTTCTCCGTCCGGTTAAAACCGGCGGTTCTAGCGGTTGTAACTGTCAGAACTGCAGTTTTTTTTTTTTTTTAAATGTGTTGTGAAACGTCTTAATTACCCCTCCCAACAGCCATAAACGGCTAGTTTCAAGGGTATTTTTGAAAAAATGAATTTTTGGATTTATTATAAATAGAAAAATGAATTTTTGGATTTATTATAAATACCTCATTTTATTTACAAATTCATTACAAAAACATCTCAACTCTCTCTACAATATACTACACTCTCTACTTACTCTCTCTACCATATACTACACTCTACTCTATATTAATCATTTATTCTTCTCTACTCTACTCTATATTCTTACCATGCAAATTTTCGGGTACGCTTCTAACCTTCTTTATTTATATATTCTGAAAAAATACAAAAAGAAGAATTAGCAAAAATGATTTCTATGGAACATTTATCTTTTAGTTTTGGTGAAAAAGTAGGTTTTACAAACGACATCTATGATATGATTCCCGACCAATGTAATTTTGAGGGTTTTCCAAATGAAAATTTGGATATTCCAACTCAAGAATCCGAATTTAATGAGCAATTTTAAGAAGATGAAGAGCAAGAGCAAGAGCTACGAGCAAAAATTGTTACAAGAGCAAGATAAAGTTCCGACATATTCTCCATTCATTTCACAAAAAAATTCAAAGGTGAGAAAATGTACGATATAATTTGCAATTACGATATAATTTGCAATTATTGTGGAAAATCTTATAAATTTAAATAAGCGGACGGCTATGGATCATTTTGGAAGCATTTGGAGGCAAAACATCCAACAAAAATAGTAGTTGATCGGTCTCAACAACAAATTTCCGGGTACGCTTCTAACCTTTCTTTATTTAAATATTCTGAAAAAATATAAAAAGAAGAATTAGCAAAAATGATTTATAGAACATTTATCTTTTAATTTTGGTGAAAAAGTAGGTTTTAATCAATATTGTATTGTTCAAAAAGCTATTTAAATCCTTCTGCTAAAAGAGTTACCAAGAAATACTGTAAAACGGAACTATTATCTTCTTTATATAATAAGAAAAAAGAAGGTTAGGCTTTTATTTTCTCATTTGAAAATTCGTGTTTCAATTTACTGCGTTGTGATGTTTGAGTGATCCATTTGGCAAATGCATTTTTTATATTTGGGTATTATATGCATTTGGATATGATGATGATTAGAAAATTCAAAAAAAGAATTTATGGTTTTTTCGTGTTTGATATAAAACATACTGTTAAATAATAATATTTATGAAGTAATTTGTTTCAATTTTAGATGAATATAAATGACAAAAAAAAATTTTTTCAATTTATTTGATAATGCTTCTGCAAATACTAGTCAATTAATTGAACTTAAAAAAAATTGTCAACAAAAATTGGTCGCGTAAACATTTTTGATATAAGATGTATATAAGATGTGCATGCCATGTTTTAAATTTATGTGTACAAGATGGTTTAAAAATTCTTGAATCTTTTATTTCTCCAATTAAAAAAGATATTTCATATTTATGGACACATCCCCAAGTGATGAAAAGTTGGGCTAAATTTTGTAAAGAAAATAATAAAAGATCAAAACCTTTTCCGAGGGATGTCCCAACTCGTTGGAATTCAACATATGAATTACTAAACGAGTCTTTTTCTTATAAATAATTAGTATGCTTTTTTGTTACTAATAATATTGAGGATATTAATTTATATCCACAAAATTGGGAGATTTGTGCAAAAATTTTAGATATTTTTAAACTTTTTAATGATGCTACCTATAAATTTAATTTAGTGGGGTTTATTATCCCACATCTCATTTATTTTTACCTGTGTATTAATATTGTTAATGCACTCCAAGAATTTCAAAATGATGATTTATTAAAAGATTGTATTTTTTCAATGAAAAAAAAATGGTTATCTTATTTTAAAAATATAGCACCCCTTTATCTTGTTGCTATTATATTTGATCCTAGATGTAGAATGGATGTTTTATGTGATTATTTGACTATTTATTATGAAGTATTGAATCTTGATGTAGAAGATAATGTTAATATAAATGTAGTAGAAGATAATGTTAATATAAATGTAGTAATGCATGAAGTTAAACAAAATATTATGCAATTATATAATGAATTTGTTCAAGTTTCTAGTTCATCTACTCTTCCCCTCAAATTACTATAATTCCAACAATTTCCAACACAAAGGGTAAGTGGTGGTTTGGTGTTGAGCTCAACAAGTTTTACTACAAAGCAAAAGAACAAGGGAATCCAGTTCTAATTTCTGAGTTGATATTATCTAACAACTTCTTTTGAGTTTGGTGATGATTATGCAGATATACTGATTTTCCAATTTTAAAGATTGGTGGAGTCGTCCACGCAAAATACTTTCCAAAATTCTTTTCCTTTACTTGCAAAACAAATTTAGCAGCTCCGGTCTCGCACTGTTGCGGTGAACAAGCTTTTAGTAAGGAGGAAACATACTTGATGACACGAATCTCGTATGACACCCGATTCACTAGAAGCACAAGCATGCGTGGATGATTGGATCAAGGCCGAACTAGAGCGCCAAGAAAATCCAAAAAGAAAATGAAGATTATTGATTTATACGATGGGTCCTCAAAACGGAACATCAAACAGGTGGTGGCAAAATAGCGATTAAGGTAAAAAGGAGTGAATTGGATATAAGGTAAGTAAGAAACTACGTGGGCTTTGAATTCCCTTCTAAATCCCAAAGAGGATACGTAGGTGAAACAACCCTGAATTTTTATTTTCAAAACTTTTAAAAAAATTTTTAAATTAATCAAAAATCGGCAAATTTTGGCCGCGGTGGGTTGCAAATTGTAACATAGTCCCAATTCCGAGCCCAAATTTTCGAATTGGGCCTAAGCCCAAACAGTTTCATTCGGGAATTTTTCGATTTGAGGACAGTTAAAAATTTCGAGAATAACGTGAAACACCAGGATTAATCTATTATATATATATATATTATATATGATTAAATTATTCTAAATTAAAAATCAAATTACTATTAATACTTGTATTATTAAGTAGTGGAGGAAAGGTTGCATAAACATAATAAAATAATTAAAAATAAATCAAACGCGGACCTGGAAATTTATCGATTTTAATCGAAAACACAGCACGAATAATAGGAAAAACTCGAAAAACCGAACCAAATGAGATCAGATCACTAATCGGACGAAACGGTTCCGAATCGAACCGGAATGGCCCAGCCCAAACTTTCCTTCCTTCCTTTCTTTTTCCTTTCTTTTCACTCTCCTTCTTTTTCCCTTCTTCTTCCTGGCGCTTAATGCTTTACAATTTATTTAATAAAAATTTAATACAAATATAATTTTATTTGTTAAACCAAACCTATAACTAAAATAAAAATCATTACGGTTCTTCTGGCGATGCTGGTCACATTTCCAACCTCCCCTCGCTCCGATTGGACCTCCAGCGGCGCGAATCGAGACCATCTCCTCCGACAGTCATACCCTTTGACCTCCGGCGACTTCTCGCCATTTCCGACGGGCTCAAGGTGAACTTAAGGTCTCGATCGACTCCTCTCCTCCACGTGAACAATTCCCCTCCATTGATTTGTGATCTTGCTTGAGTTTTGACAACCCACCATGGATGGCGGCTTGAAGGTGGCTGTGGAGGTCGATCCGGCCAAACGAGCCACTGCCTCATCAAACCGATGGTGGATTTGAACTCCTCGCGAAAATTGGAGTCAAGTGGTGGTGACCTTGCAATTTTCTGGGCGGGCGGTTTAGCTTTTCCGGCCACCGTGCATGGCGGCCGGCCGGCGGCGGTCCGGTGACCGGCCGGGGACACTCCGGCGAGGCCCGGGAGACAGAATTCTCTTTTCTTCGCGTTGAGCATGGAATCGTCACCCGATTCTCAATTGGTACGTTCGAAGACTCAATTCTCAAATTTTTTTTTTTTGCATATAAAGCATCAATTGATTATTAAATTTAATTGTGTTATAAATGTCAACATTTAAATTTATGGGACATTTTAGTTAACTTCGAATAGGTATTTAATCGAAGGACTTTGTTCCGACGCACGTTGTAGCTAGGTAAATAAATTTCAACCTTTTCTAGTAAATTTCATGAATTTTCTGATTTAGTGGGTGATTTGGTGTTATTGAGGTAATTTTCATTTAGAGGCTAAGAATTGTATAAATGGCAACAACTTTTGATTAGAGAAATTATAGTTTTTTGATTTAATTAAGTTCATATATATGAATTTTTATTTACTGTTGAGGCAGCAGCTAGTTTAGTTATTTTGGTTAAATTTTGCTTAATGAATAGGAAAGGGTATAGTGTATTGAGTTATAAATTCAATTCGTGCTAAGAATTGATTAGTTAAAGTATACTTATTTAGTTATGCTTAATAGATAATTTAAATAGGGCGTTTCCTATAATCTTGCTTGGTGAGGATAGTGATTCACAAATTATTAAGTTGTTACATAAGATCCTAATTAATGTTGGTAAAAGGAATATGAGCTATAACTTTGTATGATTATTAAAGGAATATATGATCAGATAGTTTAAGGATAGTTTAAAGTAGTAGGACGCGGAAATTAAACAAATAAACATTTTCATTTAATCGCGTATTTATTTACTTATTTGTTTAATCTTAGTAAAGCTATGAATATTTTTGTATTAGTAGTAAACTAATTTGTATCAATGTTGAAATCATGTATTAAGTAAAGCTAAGGTTTTGTATAGATGGTTAAATAATTAAATTAATGGTTGAGTGTTGATATTGTTGTTTTGGGAGGAGGATGGGATTTTAAATTGATTGATTGCCCGACGGATGGGCTGTGTGCTTTGATTTGATAAATAAATGATAATATTGAGATATTTGAGCAGGCAGATAGTCCAATTTTTAGGGGAGGTGCTGTCGAAATTTTGATAGAACTTAGACTAATTTTAACTAACAACATAATTAATAAGTTTATAAATATAGTTTATTTAGATTAGTTTCTATAATTTTTGTAACATAATAAATCCGGTGCTCTAATTATTTAATTATCTTTATGATTTCATTTGTCATTATTTATATATTTAGTTATGTTATTTTGCATTATATTGTTATTAATTCGTTATTTTATTTTATTATGTTGTTTATTGTCCAATTCTATTATTTATTTATTTTAATTTATTTGCCATTTGATTTTGGATGTTTAACTATTGTGCAATTGCATTACGATGTCGGCAAATTGAATAAATATGTCCTGCATTTGTTTGAATGTTTGATTAATTGTGTTGTGATATTGCTTGTGCTTTTTGCTTGTTTGTGGAATTGGGATGAACGTGGGTCACCATGGGTTTTGTGAGGACGGTCGATAAACGATGGATCCTGATTATGATGAATTGTGAAAATTGGATCCGTCCGGCGCGGGTAAAGTGGGAGATCGGCGCCCCGTGTGCACGCCTGATGAATTGATGAAATGATGTTGATGACGATGGAAAAGAAAAGAAGAGAATGTAAAATAAAAATATTGAGAGGACTGGTAAGTGGAGGAAATTAACCGGTACCGGCCCAGATATGGGGGATTGGGCTCCCGCGGGGTGCACATGTTTGAGAGGATGTGGCTGTTTTGAGAGGACGGCTCGTCGGGGGTTTTAGGTGGACGCCAATGTTTTTTTTTTCTCCTGACTAATTTTTCCACGTGTATGTGATTATATGAAGATGTTAAATGAATTGGTGGAGTGGCTGGTGATATGCCATTTGTGGTGACTGGCTGTGTGGAGCATATACCCTAGTCGGCATGACTAAGGTTTGAATATATTTATACAAATGTGTGAATGGTGTGTGGTTGTGCAATAATTATTATCTCATTAATAAACTCACAATCCCTTTTGGTTCAATTCCTTTTCAGGAAGTAGCATTTTCTAAATCCCAGTTATAACTCTGCTCTACGCCGTTAAAAAGAAATTCGGTCTATAATTTTAGGTATTGATGCAATTAAATAGATAATTGTCCCGAAGACCTTAAATAATGTATACCAATCCGTCAGGTAAACTCCGCAGTTATAAGAACTTGTATACTTTTAAGTTGTGTAATTAACTTATAGATAGGAATAATTCTGTCGAAGCCTGTAATTATAACTATAGGTGTATTGTAAGCCAGGGAAAATTTTGTAAACATTGTTTAAAATTTTTATTGGAATAAGCAAATTTATACGCGTTTCAGGCTTAATAACGGGCCTCGGGGCCTTAAAGCTTGACCTGGGCCCTAGTCGCGCGGTCAGCGCCATGGAATATGGGTCGTGACAGTAGGCAACTTAATTTTTTTTTTTAAACAAAAAGAAAAAATTAAGTTCAAGCCGCTTTTTTTTTTTTTTTTAAAATTATGTCAAAACTTTTAAAAAAAAATTCAGTTCAAATTTTTTTTTTTTTAAAATAATTATGTATCAACAGCTCCAACAATGTCAAGTCCTTTAAAAAATATTAAATTTAAATTGAAGTATTTTTTTTATTTTTTTTTAGTGTATTTTTTAAATTTTGTTTATGGTTCAAAATAATTTTTTTTTAAACCGGGTCTTTCAAATTTTTAAAATCTTTATTAGGTGTATTTTTAAAATTTTTTGTTTTTATGTTCAATATAATTTTTTTTAAACGCGTCATTCAAAATTTAAGAAATTTAAAAGTTATGCGATTCGCAGGAAAGTCAATCGGCAACCGTCTGTTTTGTAATCGGATCGTAACCGGAACCTGGAACGCAGTAACCGGGACGGTTTTCCGAAAACCGGAACCGGGAACCGGACCTTTTTTGGTTCGTTCCGGTTCCAGTTTTTCTGGGAATATCGAAACCGCCAGTTTCCGGAACCGTGGCCGTCCCGGAACCGGAACCGGAACCATAACCGGACGGTTCCAAACCGGAACCGGAACCGGACCTTTTTGGTTCGGTTCCGGTTCCAGTTTTTCTGGAATCGAAACCGCCAGTTCCGGAACCGTGGCCAAGTCTACCTGAATCGGGCCAATATACCAAATGAATCTAATGAAAATAAACAAGATAAATGAGGATAATGTTTGCATTCATTAAAAAAAAAAAAGACAAAATCTTAAATGGTAAAAATTTTCTTAAGGGACAAGACTTATCTACACTTGATGCATGAGAATCAAACCATTTTATAAAGTTTTTTTTTCTAAATTGTAACCGTTTTATACTTTTTGTTTTTATTGAATGTTTAGAAATCTTACTTTTTATTGGTTTGGTGTATGGATAGCCCATACATCCAATGTAAATAAGTGTTCGCTAAAGGACCTGTACAACCTTTTTTATTTTGATGATTAACAAAAGTAGTAAATTGAAGTATTTTATTATATAGTTTATCTAGTTTTTTATTTTGTAAAAACTGATGGGGTTAAGTTTATCTAGTTATTTGACACAAACTAGAAAGGCAAGTTTATAAGTTCTTTGAAAAACTTATGGTTAATGGTTAGTTCTAAGGGGTTAAACTATTTCCATTGTACTTGGCTTTGTTTTTGTCTTTAAAAAGAGTATGACAATGGATCATCTTAAAATATTTTCTTAAAGAGTGGATGTAGGCGTCAGAAATATTGAACCACTATAAAATTGATTGTATAGTTTTCTCCTCTCTCATTTCTCTTGATAATTAAAATTGAATATACCCACACACTCACTTGATAATATGTTATGCTTGTGAAATGAACAGAAAATTTATTTCAAAAATTTTCATTCAAAATTTAAATAATAAATTTAACTAATAAGATAAAAGGCATTTTCATTTTTTTAAATAAATATATTTTTACTTTGTGAAATTATTTGATAAAATTTAATACAAATATTATTTTATACATAGAAACCAAACCTAAAAATTAAATCAAACCCAATAGAAATCCATAAACCAATTAAAATCGAACAAAACCCCTCGATTTGGACAAAACCGGAGTCAAACCGGACCTAAAGCACTCTAAAAAACCTTAGAAAATTTTAAATTCCCTTATTTTCTTCTCCGCTCTCTCGTTTCCAGGCGCAGTCCCGCTTTCTCTCTCAATTCTGATCGCCGCCCTAGCCAACCAGCGTCGACGCCACCTTGTCCCCACTGTAGCTTCATACCCGCTTCTCTTTCTCTTCGTCTCCGTTTCTGGTGAGCGCAATAACCACAGGCGAGCTGCGATTCCTTCTCTTCCAAGCAACGCAGCAGCGTCTTCTTCCATCACCGGTGATCTAGCTCCGGTCCCTCTCCTGTCTTGTCTCAGCGCAGCAGGCAAGAGAGGGAGCTGTAACTTCGATTGACGGCTCGCTTCTCTCTCTCTCCTCCTCGTTTTTCCGGTGACAATGGCAAATCGAGCGGCTCCAATCCTCTCCTTTATGACGGTGAGCTTCTCTCTCCTTTTCGTTTGATTTCAGTCGGCGCAGTAGACACAAGGAGCGGTGATCACAGCTTGTGATTGAAACAGTCCCGCTGCCTACACTCTTGTCCATTTTCCGACGACACGAGCTAAGGAACCGGTCAGTTATAATGTCTCACTGCTTCCAGTAGCATCACTGGCCAAATTTGCTTCGACGAAATTGATTTGTGGACGCCGGAGTTGTTGCGGATCATTTTTAACCGGAAAATTCTTATTTCCAGCTAGTTTTGCAGCTAGGTGAGTTATATTCCAACCTTCCTAAATTTGATTTATGAATTCTCCAACCTTAGTTGATGGATTTAAGATATAAAATTAGCCATGGTAGAGATTTAATTACTTAGCTATTGTTTATGTGAAAATAAGTAGGAATTCCAATTTTTGTTCTTTAAATTAGTATATAAACCGAATGCCTATGTAGAAATGGTTGATCATTGCTTTTATTATAAATTCTTATGAAGGATTAAGGATTCTTTAGGTTGATAGAAGCTAGTTAATTAGATGCTAAGTTCTTAAGATCTTATTAAGAAAGTAATTATGAATTCTTTATGAAGGAGTTAAGGATTCTTTTAGGTTTGAATAGTAAGCTAGTTAATTAGATGCCTACAGTTCTTAAGATGCTTAGTTAGGATTCTTTAGGTTGATAGAAGCTAGTTAATTAGATGCTAAGTTCTTAAGATCTTATTAAGAAAGTATTAAATTTATATTCATTTTGAATGAGCTATAATGCTGAAATTTTACATCGTGATGGGAAATGAGTTAAACTTGTGCATATATTTAAGTTTAGGTCAACAAGAACTTATTATTTTGGTGGGAAATAACTATTGCGTATAGTTGGTATCATTTTTTGTAAACTAACAAAGAATTGGATGTATATTTAATGCTTTTGTCGGTTAGTCTACAAAAAAAACGGCATTTTGCGACCGACAAATCGGTCGCTAAATTCAATTAGCAACCGATATTTGTCGGTCGTAAAAATGCTCGTCGCAAAGTCTTTTGCGACCGATTTTTTCGTCGGTCACAAATTAGCGACCGACAAAATTGAAAAAAAATCGGTTGCAAATTTTGGTCGTGTTTTCATTTGGAAACGTGGTCGCAAATTAGTCGCAGAAAAGTCTGTCGCAATTCGGTCGCAAAATTGAAAAAAATTAAAAAAAAAAAAAATATTATTATAAAACCATAATTTTTTCGCACCTGTGAAAATTGACTGTGGAAGAATTAACATATATATATATATCACAATCACCGGACAATTCAAAAAACAATATAAAAAATGTAAATTGTTATTGTAAATGTAATTGTTATTGTACTGAACAAAATGTCAAAAAACAAATGAAAAACTAAAAAGGTCCAAAATCAAATCTACGCGGTTGGTCATCTGCACGATCTGATGTCGAATCGTCGGGAGGAGCACCTGCATGATGTGCTGTAGTGCCGGGAGGGGTGACCAAGGTATCGTCTGCAGCATCGATATTAGGAGACGGAAGTGGCTATGTGTTATATATGATCTTCTGTATTCATGGACATAATACACAAATAATGAGGGAGAAAGAAGTAAGTGGCTAAAAATACAAGCACTCCAAGATCAGCCTCTTCACCAACTGCAGCCCTGCGAGGATTTACCCAGTATATCTGGCTTGCACACCATGAGCAATATAGGCTATTTACCCAGTATATCTGGCTTGCACACCATGAGCAATATAGGCTTGCTATGATCAGAATAAGTTTCAATGATTGATAGGATTGTTTTCTAGTGGACTTTAAAGATTTCACTCTGCATTCCAAAATGTTTTAAGCAATAAACAAAACGCCAGCAACCGTTCCCATGCTAAATATAAAACTGAATGAGAATAAGTACCTAAGTTTCCAAATAATAAATTGACCTGTTAATGTAAATAAAGCCACCAATCAAGCAAGTGCATAAGAAGCCAACCACAATAACAGCATTAGGATTGACAGGTGCTTGATTCTTCCACCAACCAGTGCTTAATATCCAGCTATACATTGATGAATGTCCATTTTCCTGTACATGGCAAGGTTCATGGCAAGGTTTGCTTCATCAACTAAAATTGCAAACTTTTTTTTTTTTAACAAAAAGTATGGCATCTCAAAGGCTCAGAGAAAAAGGAAAATAAAAGTGAGCTGCACGAACAAATTTCAAAGATGGAGTTGCAAAATCTACTTACTTTGGTGTTGCCTCAACTATGTACTAGCTAAAAAGACCATAAAATTATTTTCCTGAATATTCCTGTTTCAAAGCAAATTAAGTTCTTTTCCTGGCAGAGTCTTTAGCTTACTGATGACTTTTAAATTGAGAAGAAAAATTATATTAATAATGTAACATATCAATATGAACCTTTAAGAACCATCAATATGAACCTTTAAAAATTTTGGGAGAATGAATGTTGAAATTTGCTATCAAAATTCATTTCACATGCCCAATGCATCAATTTTTGAAAAATGGATCAGGTCACACTGAATTTTTTCAATAGACCACTCCAGGTCATACAGGAGAGAAAAAGAAAAGCTTGGAGTTGACTACAGTCCATGACAGAGAGCACAGAGAAACTGGACAAACATAGCATCAACCATTGTTAAAACTAATCCCCCATTTATAGTTTTATGCAAAATGTAAGTTCAGATTTGTGGCTTTTTATTTTTTTCTATTTAATTCCTTTGCTAAAAATTTTTAATTCTTTTTAATATTATATTAATTCCTAATTTAATGTCTATTTATTCCTTTGCTAAAATGCTAAAAATTACATACTTCCTAATTTCCTTACTTCCTAATTATTGTATTTAATTCCTTCCTAATAATAATAATAATAATAAATAATAATAATAATAATAAACAGTAACAGATATTATATTTTAATAATAATAATAATAACGGTACCTATTCCTTAATCACAATGAAACATCCCGAAGTTTTATTTTTCAAAAACTGTTCGAATTTTGTATTAAAATTAAAAATCCTCGATTTTCAACTATATGGGCTATTAAATACCAAACAATTTCAATTTGAGCCCAAAGTTATTATACGTAGTTGGGCCAGCCCAAATTAAAATGTCCGAAAAATTTTGAATCGTAAACAGAATTAAATTTTTGAAGAAATAATATGAAACCCGTTAAATTTAAAACCTATTATGAATATATAAAAATTAATTATCCTAAAATTCAAATACTATTATTATTGTTATTATTGAGTAAATGATGGAAATGTTCTGCAGAACCTAACCAAAACAATTTTAAAAATAAATCAAATCAAGTCAGAAAACCAAAATTAAATATCTTTAAACTGAGTCAAATTACTGAATCAGACCCAAACCGGGTTCGAATCGAACTTCGAATCGAACCGGAATAATCTAGAAACTGATTTATTTTCTTTTTCTTCCTCTCTTCCTCTTCTTTCTTCGTTTTTTTTCAGCAGGAGTGGCGACCCCCCCCCTCTCTTCTTCCTCCCTCCATTAGTTTTCCGGTGACCTTGTCATCACCAAACGGCTCCAGTCCTCTCCTTCATCGACGGCGAGCTTCTCCCTCTCCTTCTTCGTCTCCGATTCTGGCAAAGCCTGGGAATCACGAGCAAGTCGCCATTCTGTTTCGCTCGAGACAGTTGCGTCTCCGGCGATTGCGGACCAGTCGAGTGGTCCTTCTCATCGGCGCGGCGACAACCCTTCGGTCTCTCTCTCACTTCGTGTAGTCGTCGTTAGCGCAGCAAGGGAGGCGCATGGGTTGTGTTAAACTGATCTACATAGCCCTCATTTTCTGCTTTTCTTCCCGTTTTTCGGCCAAATGAGCTACTAGTCCAACAAACAAGCGTTAGATTTGGGCTCTCAAGGAGATTTCGGGCAATTTGGTGTGGATAACGCGAAACTCTGGGCAGAATCGACTTTCCGGCCACCGTGAACGGCGGTCCGGCGAGTCTCCGGCGAGGCCCCAAAGAAACAGAATTATTCCCTCCTTACGCTGATCATGGAATCATCATCATTCATCCGACTTTCTGATCATGGAATCATCATCCGACTTTCGATTGGTACGCCCTAAGACCCAGTTCTTAATTTTTGTATAAATTTCAAATTTAATTGATTAGTAAATTAATCGATTATTTAAGAAGATTTAATTAAATAACAAGAAATTAGAGTATTGGGATAGTTATATGTAAACAAAACATTTGTCTTTAATCGAATATGATTCCTCGTTAGGGAACCTCGTTAGATAAATACACTAAATCTTGAAATTTAGGTTACAAGTCATTTAGAATAATTGTTACAAATTGAAATGTGAAAGATAAATTGGAATTAGTTAGTTAATTAGTATAATCATTAGCTTAAAACCAGTTGGTTGTGCATAAGATAATTAAGAGGTGTTTTCAAATGATTAACGGAGTTTAGATGTATAATTCTGATAAACTAAGATTTCGAAAGCCTAACCACTTCTGATATGGATATAAGAATATAAGAATCAAATCTAGATAAATAATAGTTATAAATAGTTATTGTTAAAAATGGGTTTTAACAACTTAACAATTTAATTACCACAAAGTTATTAATTTGGTCAGCTTATGATTTAGCAAATAATTTTATATGAGTATTGTTGAAACAGGTTGAAAGTTGTTATATTTATAAACTTATGGTTGAGATAATTGGGTGTTGATACTGATGTTTAAGGAGGATGGGACTTAAATTGTTGATTGCCCGACGGATGGGCTGCGTACATTGATTGATAAATATATATAATATTGTGATATTTGAGCAGGTAGATAGTCCAATTTTTAGGGGAGGTGCTGCCGAAATTTCGCCACAATTTCGATAGAACTTTAAGATTAATTTTAATTAACAACATTTAATAATAAGTTTAGTTATATTAGTCTATTAACGTTGCGTAAATAATATATAGAGTGCTTCTGATGATTTTATTATCTTTATTACTCATTTAATATTTTACATATTTATTATTTTTCTTATTGATGTTATTATTGTTATTTATTTTATTATTGTTTGTTTATTGTTAATTACAATTATTTATTTATTGCATTGATTTTGCGATGTTTAATTGTGCATTGCATTACGATGTTTAATGATTTATATGTCTGCATTTGATTGCAATGTTTGATTAATTGTGTTGTGATAATGCTATGTTTTGTTTGTGGAATTGGGATGAAGTGACCCCGTGCGTTTGTTGAGAAAACCGGTCTGTGATATGGATCCGAACTATTATATGAATATTTTGGACCGTCGGTGGGAAAAATAGGGAGATCGGCGCCCCCATGTTGCACCTGATGATATGGATTATAATGGGAAAACCACAGGATGGCTTCTTGTTTGTTGGCGCACCTGATAATCTAGATTTGATTGTAAGCCCGCAGTGGTGGCCTCCTGTTGTGAGCCACTTGTGATCTAGATTGAGGAGACACCTGTTTGCCTCCTGCTTGGATATGGAAAAAGAAAAGAGAGAATGGAATACCAAGGCGACTAAGCGCGAGGACTGGTCAGTGAGGATTACACCAGTTGGCGTATGGCGGGATCGGCTCCCTGGTGCACATGTATGAGAGCGCGGCGAGCCATGTGCTAGAATTACGGCTTCGTTAGGGTTTCCAGGTCGGCGCCACTGACTAATTTCCACGTGATGTAATTATATTGAAGGATGTTTTATGATTGTGAGTGCTGGTGAATATGCCATTTGTGTGAACTGGCTGCTGGTGGTGAGGCAAATAACTAGTCAGATACTAGATTTAATATGTGTTAACACATTTGTGTGACTGCGCTGTTGTTGTGCATAATTATACTCCTTAGAAAACTCACATGTCTTGTTTGATTTTTCAGGGGAAGTTAGGTTTTTCCTTTAATCCGATTTAGGCTATGTTTCTCGCGCAGGGGCAATAAAGATTTTTCCTAGTTCTATAATTATTTTTGCGATGTACCACGTAACAGTTAGTGCTTCGCAGTTGTAGGATTTGTATACTGTTTAATCGTTTATATTTAGATGAATTAATTATGTTAAACCCATTTTAATAAAATGTAATGCATTGTAATTAGGCCCGAACTGTGGGAATGTGTAGCCGATAAATTTGAGGCCGAGATTTAATAATTTTAAAATATCAGTTTATCTTTCGTTAATCATTATGGGTTTGAATGTGGAAATTCACTAAAATTTTATACCGAGATAATAGATTTTAGCGTTTCAGGCTTACTACGGGCCTCGGGGGCCTTAAGCTTACTTGGGCCCTAGTGCCGGTCCGGCCTACGGAAATGGGTCGTGACAGAATAAGAGAAGAGTTAGGATATAATTGATTGTGAAATAAAAAATCATCAACTCATCATATTTATACATGTGTCTCATTTATTAATTTTCCAAATTGTCCCTTATATAATTTAGTAAATTACAGTAAATAAATAAATAAATGATTAAAATGAATAAATTTTATTTACCAAAAAATAAATAAAAAACACCGGAGTCAGGAAGGGCTGGAGCAGCGTTGCGAATGGAGGAGAGGAGAGGAGAAGGAGAAGAAAGAAAGAAGAAGAAAGAAGAAAGAGGGCGTTTGGCGTTTAAAGCAGCCCTAATATTTGCGATCGACTGGTCGATCGTAAATTTCATTAATATCGATCGCAATTTTTAACTCTGCGACGCCGTTTTACTTCTCAATAAAATTGCTACCGATTTGCGACTCAAACTGTTGGTCGCAAATAATCGGTTGCAAATCGGTCACTTTGTGAATTATGGTCGTTGTAACAAGTTAGAAAATTACTTTAAGTTGTAAATTGAGGGGTTGCTTTACTTTGTGAATTATGGTCGTATGGTGATATGGCAATTAAAGGAGGTTGGGAACTTGACTTGATTGATTGCCCGACGGATGGGCTGTGTGGGTTGAATGGATATTTAATAAAATTATTGATATTTAAATTGGTGGATAGTCCTATTTTTAGAGGCGATTCAACCGAAATTTTGAGAGAATCTAGATTAGTTTTACTTGTTAAATAGGTTATTGGATTATTTAGGACAAGCCTTTATTCTTATTTAGGACAAGCCTTTATTCAATTCTTTCCTCTCCTTCGGATTCCATTTTGTTTGGATCGCTTTAGTTTGTTCACTGCTTCAACATGTTAGAATCCAAAATTAGAGTCTTTTCTCATCCAGCATTATAAGTAATAATAATTAGTATATACCATTTGCTTCATACATAAAATCATCATTATACAAAGCTTTGTCTTTATTTATTTATTTATTTATCAAGTATCAATTATTATGTTATATTAGTATTTAATACTCTTATATTTATTTGTATTTGTATATGAATGTCTATTTGTGCTCTTGCATGATAATGTTTAAGCATTTAATATGCTAGCATTTAATTGCATTGTTTGATTATTTATGTTATGACATTGATTTGCTTTGTTTGCATGGAATTGGGTTGCATTGTTTGATTATTTATGTTATGACATTGATTTGCTTTGTTTGCATGGAATTGGGATGAAGTGGGTCACCATGAGTTTGTGATGGTGGTCTTCAATACTGTTGGCCATGTATGGAGAGATCGGCGCCCACTTATGCATCTGATGATATGAATTATATGAAAAACCACATGGTGGCCTCCTCCTGTTGGTAATGGGAAAAAAAAAAAAGAGCATGGAAAAAAATGAGAGGTTGGTCAAGGAAGGATTAGACCGGTCAACTATGTATGAAGGATCGACTCCCTGGTGCACACGTTTGAGAGGGCGGCCCATGTGTGAAGACGACTCGTCTAGGATTTTGCTGATGCCACTAACCAATTTCCACTTGTTTGATTTTTTGAAGGTGTAATTACTTGTGGATGCTGATGTTGTTTCATATGCTTGACTGGTTGTATGTTCATTTTAGTATTTTAAGAAGCATTTCATGTGAATGTCTATGTTATGCATTAATTATTATGCATTATAAACTCACTCTTCTTTTATCTAACTTTTCCAGGAAATAGATTCTTCATTGTCATGCCAAAGATCTGTTTCCTCCACTGCAGAGCTAGAAAAGTAATCTTTAGTATCAGTAGTTGTTTAGCGATATATACAAGAACTTATTTACATCTATCTGTTAGAGAACTCTGCAATTGTAAGATTACAACCGATAAACTTATGTGGATGTTTTAATTATTCATTTAGGTATATGCATGAACCAGTTAGCGCATATTATAGATGTTATATATCATATTTGGGCTCGAGCTATAAAATGTTTAAGATGTTGGACTTGGGCCAGAGTATAAAATAATTGTGAGACTTGTTATGTATGGTGATACGGGCTAACTATTTTTGAAATACTTATTGATGTGGTTGAACTTAGTGATTCAGGCTTACTACGGGTCTCGGGGGCCTTATGCTTACCTAGGCCCTAGTCTCAATCTAGCCCATGGTTTTGGATCGTGACAGCTTGATGATTTAATTTGCTCTACTTGCTACATTATGGTTATTTGATTTCTAAGATAGCTTTGATCATAAACTGACTTACAAAATTAGTGTTACTAGTTTCAGTGAGCCAGATTCAGTGACAGGTTTAGTTTCATGTTTTATTTTCAATGATAAATCTGTTAAGTATTTAATTGATTTATCTATGTTTATTATCTAAATTTAGTTGGTATATTACATTGCTTCTGCTATGATTTGAAAAATCTTTGAAAAGAATTAAACTTTTGAAATACCAATTCACTGCATCTTAGCTATTTGCCTATAAGGATCTACAGTAAGTGTTTCCTTTTTAAAATAACTAGTCTTTTTATGACGTGTCTTGCATGTTGACTATACTCTTTATTCGTATTTGTTCAAATTTTTTTATGTTATTACTTACTTGTTATTTATACACATTCTTATTTTTTTAATATTAAATATTGATTTATAATTTTGTCTTATATTATTTATATTTTCATAATGTTAAAATAAAATTTCATATGAGATTATATATACATTTCCATATAGTTTAAAATAAAATTTCATATGAAGATATTATTATATACATTTCCACTATATATATAATTATATATTATATAGCTATATAGATATAACAATTAAAATATTATATATATTTTAAAATAAATTTTACAATTGTTTGTCAACATCAAACATTAACATATTTTCATTGTTGTTTTAAAAATAAAATTTTAAAAGTAAACATTTTAAAATTTTTTGAAAGGTCTTTAATTATTTATATTCTATTTGAAATTTTTATTTTTAAAAAATTTTATACATTCAACAAATCATACAAACATAAATAAAAAAGAATATTATAAAAAAATTTAAAATATTTTATTAGGAGAAAAGATTAAAAGAAGGAAAAAAGAATATTATAAAAAAAATACTTTTTAATATTTCTCCTAAATAAAAATATTTAATTTTAACAGTTCTCCTAAATAAAATATTTTAAATTTTAACAGAATCAAATATTTAAAAAAAATTTAAAAATAAAATATAAAAATTTTCAAATGTCTCACTATCATATACATTTATTAAAAAATATATTTAAAAAAGATAAAACTTAAAATTTTGAAATTCTTAATTATCTACATGTATTTACTTAAAAAATTTTAATAAATTATATCTAATCAACTAATAAAATATAATTTTCTAATTGATCATGACTAAGGTTATTTTAGATTATTTTAAATTTTATCAAGGATATTATCAAAAATCTCATTATTTTTCCACATCAATATATATAAAACAAATATTTTTTTCGCAAGAAATTGATATGTGGCATTTTTTAAATGAATGTTCTTCTGCTCTTATCACATAAGATTCTTAAATTTTAATAATGACACATAAAACTCTTAAATTTTAATAGTGCTAAATAGAATTTAATTATTAGTTATAGTGTTATATAAATATTGATATTAGCTATCATTCAATTATCAAAATTAATACATATTATTAAATAATTATAATTATTATAATATTGTAACCTATCTTTCTCAATTAAAATTACATAATATTGGTATTAATTGTCATTCAATTATCATATTAATAATTATCCATATTATATGTTTTAAATAATTAAAATTTAATTATAATATTAATATTATAATCTATTTTTTAATTAAAAATAATCATAATTTTGATGTTGATTATCATATTAATATGTATTATAACTTTTAAAATAATATTATTATAATATTGATACTGAATATCATTATAATCAATCATAATTATAATTTATTATCATGAATGAAAATTTTATATTTAAATGAATGATAGAGAAGGTTAACACCTGAAAATATTTATTAATAGTTTTATTAACAATGAATATCCAAACGTTTCAATATTTATTTATCTTGAAATTGCAATATATAGTTGTCTTTATTAGGTTTAATGATAATATATTGAATCGTCATTAATTGCTTATTACTAACTATAAATATTAAATAGAGAGAGCTCTTTGAGGTTTGATAAGATCAATTTATTTTTGTAATTTTAATAATGTTTATACTATTTCTTTTTTACATTGATATATTTTTTTTCTTCTAATTTCTATTACTCTTCAAATTAGGAAAAGTTTGATAATATCATTAAGAATGATATGTATACATCTATAATTAAATTTCTATTGTCCATTTTATTTTATTATTTTTAATATCATTTAAGAAAATTTATTAATTCAAAAATAAATTAAATGAATGATTTTTAATATATATTTAATTTTCTTTCAATTTTATTATGGACATTAATTTTCAAATTTTTATTAATGGCATTAATCTTTTTAAAAATTTATTAATTCAAAAATAAATTAAATGAATGATTTTTAATATATATTTAATTTTCTTTCAATTTTATTATGGACATTAATTTTTATATAATTAGTCTAATGTTTTGAATTTGAAATAGATGTTCTTGAATTTAAACAAGTTTCAACAAAATAAACAAATATGAAATCAAAAATAATTTAAATTATAATTTTTTAATTAAATTATATATTTTAAAATATTATCACAATATATCTAAGATTATAGATAAAGATATTTACTATGCATGCTGTTAGTTTGTATATAGTATAGATAAATGGTTATTTATTGATTTGGTGTATGAGACACATGTACTAAGAGTAATTAGTTTTCTAACATGTACACTAAAAATTACTTTGTTATCCACTAAAATGGGTTAATTATATTTGTCGTGTTTATATTTGTCGTATTTAAACTTTTAATTTTTCTCAAATTTGATATATGAATGGAAAAAATTTACGATGAAGTGTTTGGATTAATAATTTATATATAATTAAGTGCATTTAGCTGGAACTTTTCATTGAAAAATCAAAATGAACTATTTTACTTCATTGTTTTGCTTTTTTTTTTTTTCTAAATTATTACGGCTAAATGCATAATTTTGCTCCTAAAGTTTACGCGATTTGCTTTATGGTATCTCAAATTTGCGGGGACCTATCATTGCCTTACACTTTTATATTTTAGTAATAATTGCGACATCCTGACCCGGCAAAGCAATCTTAAGAGTGCTGGTATAACAAAGCTTCTGGCTAGTTTCTAGGATGACTGACTAGCTATGGGTAGTGAAATGCGGGACACAGAAATGAATCGGATCGTATATCAAAAAGGGGAAAACTAATCATCAGATGTGCCTTTTGGTGGAATGGCTTGGAGCGTTGGAAGAACTCTAGTGTTAAGTGTGCTCCTTAATGAAAATCTTAGGATGTGTGACTTTTTGGGAAGTTTCCTATTTCACCAGCGGGACAAAATCGTACGGGTCTTGCTAATCCAGTATGGAATGAAATTGGCTTGGTGTAAAATAGACAATTCCTCTGGAGGTTAGAGTTGAGCATGACAATTGGTATTAGAGCTAGACCCCCACTAGTAGAAGTATGGTTTGAGGACAAACCACGCGGAAGTTGGTGGGCCTGTGACATCCCGACTCGGAAAGCGATCCTAAGAGGGAGGGTAGAGCAAAGCTCTTGGCTAGCTTCTAAGATGATAGACTAGCTATGGGTAGTGGAATATGGGACACAGGAATGAATCAGATCATATATCGAAAAGGGGGAAACTAATCATCAAAGTTGCCTTTTGGTGGAATGACTTGGAGAGTTAGAAGAACTCCGGGGTTAAGCGTGCTCCTTAACGAAAATCCTAGGATGGGTAATCTCTTGGGAAGTTCCCCATTTCACCTGCGGGGTAAAACCATGCGAGTCTTGCCAATCCAGTAAGGAATCTAGTATGGGATGAAATTGGCTTGTTCTAAAGCGGACAATTCCTCTAGTGGTTGGAGTCGGACGTGACAATAATTATGCCCCTCACCAAAATAAAATGGAAAAGTGCAGGGTCATGATTGAACTCTTACAAAGTTCTTTCATTTTGAAGAGACATATTTATTACTGAAATGTGAAAGTTTAGGGCCATGATAAGTTTCTCGAAAACTTGAAGGTGCTATAAGGCAAATCGCGTAAACTTGGGGCAAATGTATGCATTAGGCCAAATTATTACTTTTTTTAAAAAACTTATGATGGAGCCCTAATAGGATATAGAATCCTAACTCATATTAGTATTTAACCACACTTAAATCAAACACATTTACTAGTCCATTAATTCTTTTAATAATCATTTTAAAAAATGGGCTTTAAATTAAATCTTTTGGACTATTAAACTTAACTCAAATATTTTGACAAACCAAATAAAATTTATCGCTAAAGTACAAACTCAGCTATTGATTGAGTCACAATTATAAATAAAAAACCTGTTAGGATTTAGCGCAAAAAATTTAGCAATCAACTGGCAAACGGTCGCTAAGTCTATCACTAAGGAGTCGATACTTTTCCCGCCATAATTTTGTGTCAGATTTTGCGACCAACTACTAATAAGTCACTGAAGTTGTTTCATCACTATTGGCATCTTATAAATTGTTAAATTACCGCCTCATTTATTTTTTCCAATGATTATTTGTCATTGCAGTCTATGGTGATCTATCGATAAATACAACAGATTTACATCGGTCGTTAAAGAGAGCTTTTTTTCTTTGTAGTGTATTACATTTGAACTACTTAGTGAATCGTGATTTAAAAATTAAATTTGAAATAGAGATAAAACGCATTATAAAACTCACATTGTGAAAAACATCTTCCAAACTTTGAAGAGAGAAAGAGTTCCTTTAATGGAATTAGGAACTAGAATTTTGCAGCTGAAAGTCTTAATTCAATCCTGTCATGTTTTTGAATGTTCTCATGTTTATAGAGCAGGCAATCAAGTGGCTCATGCCCTTGCACAAAAAGTTATTTTCCTTGATGTCAAAAAGCTAATCTGGATGGAGGAAGTCCCTTCTTTCCTTTCGAACCTTGTGTTAGCTGATTTTCATTTATAAAAGTTTTATCTTTTATTCCTCAAAAAAAATTATATTTAAAATATTTTTATACACTATAAATAATAAAAAAATATTTATCACATTTATGAAGATTTTTATTATTCAAAATGTTTATTTAAATTAATTTCAAATGGCTTGAATTGAAATGAGAATATTTTGTCATTTATTTAATCAAATATTTATTAATAATAAGTTCAAATGATATTTTTATAATAGATTGATTGTTGTAATTATTTATGTAAATCGATTAGAATTAATAGGAAATTACAAGATACAATCCTACATGGCACTATAATTCTATTGGAACTATATATATATATATCTTTTGAAATTGTCGATAAAGATTTCGGTTGAATTAATTGACAAAAAACTTATAATTTATTCGATTATATGGTCATTTAAAGACATAAGATTTAAATAGTAATTTGATTGCTATGATGAATAATAATTTGTAGTCCATGTTGTTATTTCTCCTTGGCCTCTCAATGAATAAAAAAAAATATTATCATAATTCTATTTATAAAAATTATCACTCTTTGAACTGAATGGAAAAATGTGATTCTTTGATTGTAAATTTTTATATCTTATTTACTATTTTTCTAATATATATATATATATATAGAGAGAGAGAGAGAGAGAGAGAGAGAGGGGTAATGGTCCAATAATTGAAAGAAAATGGCTTATTTTACTGTACACCAGTGTTGTCAAAACCCCATTAAAATCTGCCAAGCCCCACAGCGCCCATTTTCAGTAGTTAAATTACTAGCGTTACAAGTTGCCTAGCTTGGGGACAGGACAAATTTCTAGATCTCTATTGTGGCACGCACAAAATGGACGGTTGTGATCCTTTCAGAGACTCTTTGCCCTTTCTAGTTTTTCACATTTTTCATTTTTTTTTTTATATTCTTTACAATCAACACTCTCTCTTTTGACTCTTTCGCAAGACAATCACCTGAATTACTTTTGAGAATATAAAATTATTATTCTTATTCTCATTCTTTTCTAAAAAGTTATATTATAAATATATTACACAATATTAATCTTATTCTTATTGATTATTAACCATCAATAATATAAACATCATAAATTTTTTAAAAAATATCTATATACCTATATAAGATTTAACTCCATGATTGAAATACTTATTAGCAAGTATGAATTTTTAAATTAGAATTGATCACTATTCGGTTTAAATTAAATTGAAAAGAATCAATACTGACTGAATACATATTTAATTTTAATTTTCTTATATTAAACTGAAACTCTCCTATAAAATATTAAATTGGAATTAGTTTAACAGTTTTATTTTCAAATCAAGCTGAAAAAGATTAATTTGTGGGACTGATTTCAATTCTTGCTTCCAACTATTGAGAGTATAAAATTATTATTGTTCTCATTTTCTAAAATGATATCATGGACTATAGAAAATGTGAAATTCTAAATTAAAGATGTTAAAATGTACTAATTTTTTAATTTTTTGAGAGATTTGACCGAATTGAAATACTAGGAAGTAACAAGTGCACCTTATAAACTTATTAATCTAAAGTATAAGATTAAGGAGTAATTACAACGTGTAGCCCTTTGATTTTACTCAGATAAACTAATAAGGATCTTAATTTTCAAAATTTAGTCCATACATTATAATTCCCTTACACTATAAAATTCAATTGTTAATTTTTCCATCAAGTGAATGTGAAATTTCAAAAATGTCCTTGAAGATAATTACCATGTACTTCTATGATTTGTTTTATACTGATAAGGATCTTAAATTTTATAATTTTACAGTATGTAATCCCTATATAATTAATTATCATTAAGGATGCTCTTGATATTTTATAATTTTTTAATTGCAAAATTAATGATTGGATCTTATAATATAATATAATTATAATGCAAGTACTAAATAGTAATTTTCAAAATAAAATCCTTAATAGTTTATCTGATAAAAATATAGAGACTATATGGTAATTACTCCAAGCGTAAATGGTTCAAAATTCTACAAGAAAAAAAAAAAAAAAAAGAAAAAAAACAAAATAAAATCCTTAATAGTTTATCTGATAAATATAGAGACTATATGGTCAATTACTCCAAGTCGTAAATGGTTTCAAAATTCCTACAAGAAAAAAAAAAAAAAAAAAAGAAAAAAAACCTGAAGGTATAAAGACACAAACACCAATACAAGAAAAAAAAAAAAAAAAAGAAAAAAAACTGAAGGTAAAAGACACACACCAATCACAGGATTGATTTAATGTAATTTTATTTCGTAAAAGAGGAAAGGTTTGACTTTCCATTTTAAGCTTTGGGAAACGTATGAAAAGCCATTAAGGAATAGTGAATAGCCACGTCCTATCCCTCAACAAAAACAGTAAACGGAGTAATTGGCATTTGATCGGTTTCTGTCAAACACTAAGACAAAAATTCCCATTTTAACCTTGTACGGTGAAACTAATAAATTACCAATTTATGACAAAGTTAGAAATGGAGATTCCAGAGAGAGAGAGAGAGAGTAAATAGACTGAGACTGAGAGAACGAGAGAGAGAGAGAGAGAGTGTAGGCGTTTTTGGAACGAGAGAGAGAGAGAGAGAGGAAATGGAAATGGAAACTTAAGTAAATAGACTGAGACTGAGAGAACGAGAGAGAGAGAGAGAGTGTAGGCGTTTTAGGAATAAAGAAGGAGAAAGATTTTCTTCTTAATTTCCATTTTCCAACAATTCAATTCTGAAATTCCAAAGAACAAACACACATATAATTGTTGGTGCTATTTACTCTTTCTCCTTCTAGTTTTCTTTAATTTCATTTAGTTTTTTACAATTATTTTTTCCTTTTCAGTGTTTCTTGAAACTTTCCAAGAGTTAGATTTTTCAGTTTGTAACTTTTGGTGATTTTGATATGGGAAAAATATATCTTCTGCAATTTTTACCATCCAAAGGAAATTTTATTGTTCGTCTTCAAGATTTGGTTCTATTTTTCTTCTCTCGTGATCAGTATTCTTGAGCTGCATGTTTAGATTTCATCGAGTCTATTTCATATTAGCCTTTTTTTTTTTAATGTTAATTGCTTAATACATATTCTTCTTTCTTACTAATTAGGTTATATAAATATATGTTATTATCAGATAAGGAAAAAAAATGTATGGAGATTGCCAAGTACTGTCCAAATTGGGAGGGAATGTGGTCTCATCAGAAACCCTTTTTTCCTCAGCCATGGGAAACCCTAACTTTAACTTCATGTCAGACATGTCCTTCCAACATGCTTTCCCTCCCATCATCCCTGTAAGTGTAATCTACTCTATTTCTTCTTCTGTTTTTTTTTTTTTTCTTTGTAAAGATTTTCCTTGTGTTTATGGAGAAAAAAAAAAATGATAGGATGTATTTGGTTTCAAAAATTTAGAAAGAAGAAAGCGGGTTAATCATGGCCGGGAAGGAGGAGATGGAAAGTGGGTCTGGAAGTGAACAAGTTGAAGACAAATCAGGGAATGAGCAAGAAAGCAGTGAACTTCAACCTCCCAAGAAGAAGCGTTACCACAGGCACACTGCTCGCCAGATCCAAGAAATGGAAGCGTATGTCTTTCCTTTATCTTCTCCATTTTCCTTTCCATATTTATTCTTTTTTTTTTTTTTTTTTAAATCATTCCCAATTCTCAAGAACTACTCTCTCTCTCAAAATTTCCAATGCCATGCAATCCTAACTTGGATTCTGTGTTTGCCAATGGAACACCTATTTGCAAAAATACAAACAAGTAATTCTTCTTTTTTTACCCCTCATAAAGATGAGATTTTCTTTTATTTATTATGCTACCCTTAATGTTAATTTAATTTAATTATAAAGATTTTCTTTTTTTCCCCCTCATAAAGATGTCTCTTTTTAGACTTTTTAATTTAATCATACAACAGTATATTTTTGTCATATGATATAAAACCATAAGCTTGTTTCGCAGCTTGTTTAAGGAATGCCCACACCCAGATGACAAACAAAGAATGAAACTTAGCCAAGAACTTGGTTTAAAGCCACGCCAAGTTAAATTTTGGTTCCAAAATCGCCGTACCCAAATGAAGGTGACTACTGCTCTCTCTCTCTCCTCTTTACTTCATGCTAAGTGGGCGTTGGGTTTTACATACAGTGAACGAGATTCCCAAGAAAACGCGTCCATTAGTAACGTTTTCACTAAACCCATCATCATGAGCATCGTAGCAAAAGAATCGCATTTATAGCTTTGGCTTGCTGGCTCTTTTGCTCGTAGTCCTACATATCTAATACAGTCTGTATCCATTAATAACCCTTGTGGGGCGTGTAATTTAAACCCTTACCTGCACATGTGCTTCCTAGAGGGTGCACAGTAAGAGTTAATGCTATGTCTGTTAGTAATTTTTAGGGTTATACACAACGAAATTAGTGTTTTTTATTTCCTTAAATTTCACTACCATGTAATTTAGGCACAGCAAGATCGAGCAGATAATATTGTACTGAGAGCAGAGAACGAGACCTTGAAGAATGATAATTACAGGCTACATGCAGAATTACGCAATATAATCTGCCCTAATTGCGGAGGGCCTGCTATGCTTGGTGGGATTTCCTTTGAGGAACTTAGACTTGAAAATGCAAGGCTTAGAGATGAGGTATATTTCAATTGTTATTCTAATTCGATTATTCAATATAGACCTTGAAAATGCAAGGCTTAGAGATGAGGGTATATTTCAATTGTTATTCTAAATTCGATTATTTCAATATATATATATATATTATATATATATATATATATATATATATTTAATAATATATAATAAAATTATACCATACCTCTAATTATGTTCTTAACTATGTTTTATTTATGTAAATTCGTCTCAAATATGTATCAACATTATAAAATTTATGTTTTTATTTATGTAATTCGTCCTCAAAATATGTTAATCACAACCATAAAATTTTATACCTTTGCTACTATTTAAATGCTAGTTGAAAGAAAAAAAAAAAAAGAAACTTGAAATTTTATGCATTTAGGTAGTGTTTTGTGTAAATGGGTTTCAAAATTTAAAATTTTATTTATGTAATTCGTCTCAAATATGTTATCACACATAAAATTTATACCTTTGCTACTATTAAATGCTAGTTGAAAGAAAAAAAAGAAAAAACTTGAAATTTTATGCATTTAGGTTATGTTTTGTGTAAATGGGTTTCAAAATTTAAATTTAAATTTCTTTTGTTCGTTATAAGATGAAAATATTTATTTCATTATTGACGTAGAAACTCAATTTTATGAAACTCAATTTAATTAAATAAAATTGAATTTATTTATAAATGAATTTTATACAGACCAAATTTATTTATACCACCTATTAATATATTTTAGTATACACTTGAAATTTTTTGGTTTCAAATCTAAAAAATTGATTATGCTTAAGAAGAGTTATTAAATGTTATAGAATTTAATAAATAAATTTTACATTTAAACACGTGAACTGTTAAATCATTTGCAGCTAGAACGCGTTTGTTGCATTGCCTCACGATATAGTGGCCGGTCAATTCAAGCAATGGCGCCTGCTCCTCCGCTCATTCCTACCTCACTGGATTTGGATATGAACATATACTCAAGGCAGTTTCCAGACTCTTTGGGTACTTGCAGTGAAATGATGCAAATGTCTATGTTGCCAGAAACATCCCCCTTTGCTGAGGCTGGTCTTGTATTGATGGAAGAGGAAAAAAATCTTGCAATGGAGATTGCATTGTCATCAATTGATGAACTTGTCAAGATGTGCCAGGCGACTGAGCCTCTCTGGATCAGAAACAATGAGACTGGCAAAGAAGTGCTGAATCTTGAAGAACATGCAAGAATGTCTCCATGGCCTTTGAATCTCAAGCAACAATCCAGTGAGTTCAGGACTGAAGCTACCCGTGACAGTGCTGTGGTTATAATGAATAGCATCAACTTGGTTGATGCTTTCCTCGATGCAGTATGTAGCTTTATTTATTTCATAAATTCTTTGTTATCTTCTTCTCTATTATCAATTGTCTTCTTCTTTATTTGCAATTTTCTCAGAATAAATGGATGGAGTTGTTTCCTTCAATTGTGGCTAGAGCAAAAACTGTTCAAATCATAACACCAGGTGCTTCTGGTGCCAGCGGTTCTCTTCACCTGGTAGGCATACAATTGAAGCATGCTGAGATCGGTTTAATTATAAATTATCCTACAAAATATGATTTTAATTTTATTCTACTATCGGTCAGATGTTTGCAGAACTGCAAGTTCTTTCTCCATTAGTGCCAACTAGGGAAGCATATTTTCTTCGCTATTGTCAACAAAATGTGGAAGAAGGAACTTGGGCAGTCGTTGATTTTCCCATTGATAGCTTCCATGAAAACATTCAGACTGCCTTTCCTCTTTACAGGAGAAAGCCTTCAGGTTGTGTTATTCAAGATATGCCCAATGGCTACTCAAGGGTATGTATATATATTTTTATATTCAATTCTTTTTTATATATTTTTATATCGCAGAGATTATAGTATTTGTTATGTACGTACAGGTTACTTGGGTGGAACATGCAGAAATTGAGGAAAAGCCAGTGCATGAGGTGTTTAGTGAATTAGTGTATAGTGGGATGGCGTTTGGAGCTCATCGCTGGTTAGGAGTATTGGAAAGACAATGCGAGAGAGTTGCTAGCCTCATGGCCAGAAATATCTCTGATCTTGGAGGTTTGCAATAATAAATCATGCTATATATATATTAATCCTCAGTTTAATAGTATTTGGGATTAATCTACCATACGGAATTAATTTCATTTTTACATGAATTTTAATAAAATTTTCTTTTATAAATGAATTTTGATGTTTTAATCTTCCATGATGCACAGAAACTCTCAGCCACGAGTATTTTCATCTGTCTGTTCCCGCATATATGTTTAACATGTCATTTCCCATATTGCTTCTGAGTTTTCTTTTCCATGCAACATATGTTTTAATCAACAATAAAATGTATCTTAAATACTTCTTTTCTGAAAATTAATTTATCTTAAATACTATGTAGTTCTATTAATGTGTACTTGTGAGTTTTTCGAAAGGAAGTCCTAGTAGTTTCTACTGCTTTTAAATTTAGAAGTTCATTTGCAGATTCTACTGCTTTAAATTTAAAAGAGAACAGCAAAGACAAAGATTTTGAATTATTATGAACAATTTTTTTGGTTGCATTTGCAGTAATACCTTCGCCAGAAGCAAGAAAGAATTTGATGAGACTAGCACAGAGAATGATTAGAACATTCTGCGTTAATGTCAGCACTTGTACTGGCCAGTCCTGGACAGCCTTATCTGATTCTTCTGATGACACTGTTCGAATTACCACAAGGAAAATTACTGAGCCTGGCCAGCCTAATGGGGTCATTCTAAGTGCAGTATCCACTACTTGGCTTCCCTATCCTCATTTCCAAGTCTTTGATCTCTTGAGAGACGAACAACGCAGATCCCAGGTTCGAGTTGTTTCTAATTAAATTGATTAATATTTTTTACTAAATTTAAAGATTACTTTTGGTAAGCTGTAATCAAACACATTTTTTTTTGAATATTTAATCAAATACATGTGTAGTATAACTAAGATTTCCAGTACTCGAACCAGACATAGTCGAATCCAATGAGCTTTCGGGTAGTGGTGGTTATAGACTAAAAAGATACACTTTTAGCATCAACATTATAGTAGAAATACATGGAGATTACATTTTGTTAAACATAACATTCTTTTAAATGTGTATTGCGTTTCTGTAATCAATAAAATGTAATACTATGATATATGTGATCCAGCTGGATGTCCTTTCTAATGGGAATGCCTTACATGAAGTTGCTCACATTGCCAATGGCTCTCATCCAGGAAATTGCATTTCTCTTCTTCGCATCAATGTAAGCTTTTCGATTCCAGCAACATTTTATTTTCTAATCATTTCTTACTTCTTTTTTCCTAAATATGCAAGCTGTGCATGTATATATTTAACCAAGATTGTTGTCCTAAATTAATTTCTTGTCTACCTATGTCTTAAAATAAAAAGAAAAATACATATTTAAGCCCTTGAGATTCATCGAGTTTTTCTCGTTAAAGACTTAAATTTTGTTTTTTGGTGACTTTGAATTCTTTGGATCTGTTTCTTGTTGTTTACTTTCAGTCTATTTATGTCTAATATTTATCGAAGTAAAAATTTAAAAGGTTCAATAAGCAATTAGAAAAGTTTAGAGGTTTAAATATGCGATTTTCCTTTTAAAAATTAATTATTTTCTCTAGTCTAGTTCTATTTTGTACCAAGAATTATCTATCTTTTATATTTTTGTCCTCTATTTTACTTTTCTATTTGGTTTGATGCATGCATATTATAAGGTTGCAAGCAACTCTTCCCAGCACGTAGAGCTGATGCTACAAGAGAGTTGTACAGACCAATCTGGATCTCTTATTGTATACACAACAGTCAACGTCGATTCAATCCAGCTAGCGATGAATGGTGAAGATCCATCTTTCATTCCTCTTCTTCCTCTAGGCTTTGTTATACTTCCTGTGGAATCCACCAACGCAACTAATTCTTCTCAAGAAGGAAATAATAACTCCTCAGGGTGTCTTCTCACCGTCGGCCTTCAAGTCCTCGCCAGCACCATCCCTTCCGCCAAGCTCAATCTCTCCACTGTTAATGCCATTAACAACCATTTGCGTACTACTCTCCACCAAATTTCTGCAGCTCTTACCACTTCTGAGAATTCCAATGCCAATGCTTCCTCTCAACAATAGGTTTCAAATTACCCAAAGTCTCCCCAACTCTTTCTCTCTCTGTTTAATTGCTACAAGGGTCTTTTGGTTATTGTGATATTTCTATCTTATCTAGACGAGTGGGGAGATTTTGGGTAATTCATCAGAAGTAAAGGGTAGGAGTGGAAAATAAAGTAGTGTTTTAAATTTGTGTCTTAACTTTGATCACAATATAGAAATTATCAAATATTGAACTTTTAGATTTACGAAGTTTCAATCAGAATATCAATTGTAAATTTATTAAATTGATTTTCTGATTGAAAATTCTTATTAAAAATATATTCAAAAGTTCAATTTTTGATAAATTGTATGTTAAGATCAAAGTAAAAGAGACAAATTAAACATTATTTACTGTGTATTAGTATTTAGTAGTAGTGGGTAGGTAATGTGGTGGTAGGTGTAGGATTTATTGAAGGCAGAAATTGAAAGGGAAGGGTAATTAAGGGAAAAAAAAGACAAAAAGAATATTATATAAATAATATATTGATAAAATAGAGGGAGTCAAGAGCGCACCAACATATGATCCTTGCTCTGTTAGCAAGCAAGGATGGTGGTTCGGGTATTGACTTCTACTTGTCAGAGTCTTTATTGTTCTTTTATTCAACTTAATTAAATTTCTTTTTTGTTCTTGTTATTTCAACTGTCTCTATTTCTTTACTCCATCTTATCAACAATCTAACATCATGGGTTGACAGAAGTTATGAATGAATATGTTTTAAATATGAGCATATAGCCAAGAAAATAGAAGATAAGTCTGACCTGATTTGAGAGGTTTTGGTCTTGCTCTTTCTCTAGCAAGTTTGTTTGTTTGTTTATTCTCATCTTTATGGCTTTAAGTTTGACAGTGGAGGAAGAGGGGGGTGGAGGTGTGGTCGTTAAGGGGGTTTATGTACCAATAGAGAAGGCCTACCTAGCCTCTATCTGGTAGCGCGATTCAATACAGAAAAACTTTTGGACATTAACGCAATGAAAAAGAAAATGGCTTCCCTATGGTAACTTGATAAGGGTGTGAGTATTTGTGAGATTAAGTTATTCCAATTCTTTCATAAGGTTGATAGTGGTAGGGTAATTTCTATGAGTCCTTGGATATTTGATGATCAATTACTAAACTACGTGTGAATGGACAAGCCTAATCAGTTCCTTTATATGATACTCTCTTGTGGATCCAAGCACATGATTTGCCATGAGTTAAGGACTTGCTATGTAGAGAAGTTAGAAACTAAGTTGAAAAAGTTAGCAAATGAGAAAGTATATTGAAATAAGAGGAGGTTACCTCCTCATAGGCTTTTCGAGTCCAACACTTGTGCCAAATCATTTTTGACAATTCTAATTGAGGGATCTTTGGACATAATTGGATATTTAGATCAAACTTGAAAAGTCGATCAAACCAAGGTCAAACTAGTTGAACCAAATTTAGTGCGAAATAAATTGAGAATTTTCTACTCTTTTGGTTATAAGTATTTTCATAGATAGAATTTCAGTATAATCATGATACCATCGGTACTGGTCTGAATGAGTTTTCCATCGATGTATGATACATTAAAACCCAAGTTGAAACGGGTCACAAATTGATCAAATGCACAAAATATTGAATCGAACCAATCAGACTGAATCGAGACATGTGTGCCTAGGCGGTAATCGCATAAGGCCTTGCAGTCACCACACAAGCTATCACATTCACATGTTTTAAGCATGTCATTAACATGCATTTTAGCATTCTTAAAGTCTAATCTAATGCCCTTACTTGGTCGAACTATAATTGGGCCATTAGACCCCTTTTCTTCCATATTTTCAAGAGAAAATAAGTTCTGTTGGAGATTCTTTGGTGTTAAATAAGAATATCAAGTTATTTTTCAAAGATCAAGATCTTTGGTAAAGTTCTTTCTACTAAAAATCCATTCTGTTTTTCTTTTTATTTAAAGGCTAGATCTTACGTCTTTATGGTAAAATTGTCATTTTTTATATCTTAAGCGTGATGTTTCATTCATGATTTTAATAACATGCATTTTTTTTTTTGTTTTAGGAGGTGAAACCTCCAAAGGGAAAGGGCAAAAAGTAATGGAGGCTTGTGTATTTTCTCCATTTCAGATAATGTTAGGCCTTACATTTATGTTTTATATTAAATGTGCCTCAAAATCTTATTTTTATGCAATATATGTATAGATCCATGCCCAAGATGCCATATTCATGCACTTTGTGAAGCTACATGAAATTTATGCTTGTATTATTATGAAGTCAGAATTTTCAACTGCTGTCGCTCTAAATTTATGTTTAAAAATAAAGTTTCAAAGCCATATTAAGTGGTTACATTTGCTTAGGATGCTATGTACTTAATTTGGATAGATTTGGTGAAGTATTGTTCCTTTTAGTTTTATGTTTAAAAATCAACTTTTGATGCCATATTTAGTGATTAAAATTTACTTGGGATGTTATGTACTTAATTTGGTGAGGTTTGGTGAAGTTTTAGACATATTTCTAAGAGAAGCTGAATCTCTCTAGGTTTATTTTTCATGTTCACGTGCTTTATTTTGTTGTTTTTGGTAATTTAGTCATGATTATATATGTGATGTTTAATGATGATTAATGTAAGTTGGTGTGATTTAAATGCTTGTTTGGTGCAAAAGTAAGCTTTGCGAAACCATGTAAGGATCGAAATGTAATTTTGGCAAGTGACGAGGGCTGATTGGAATAATTCCAAGGGCTATTTGCTAATTTTCCTTGCTTGCTTGTGGAAAATTTAGACAAAAAGAGGACTTTCAGGACTTGTATGACATTTTCTAAGGACCTAAATGTAATTTGCATTAATTACGGACTAAAGAACAATTTGGAACTTAATTGAGGACTATAATTATAAATTGGACCTTTATATGCGACTAATTGTGAACTATGAATAATTTAATATACCATTAGCCTAATTATCCAAGTGGCACTCATTTATAATTAATAAGAGCTTTAAGAACCAAATTATAATTTGGCCTTAATTAAGATGATAATTAATCATGATTAGCAATAATTAAGTGATATGTTTTATTAAATTATTTATGTGGCTAGGTTAATAATTAAGTTGTTAAAATATGACACTTAGATTTAATTAGGTGATTAAAAGGAAAAATAATGTAAATAATAGAAATAATAGAATATAAGAATATTAAATTAATTAGATAGTTAATTAGTATAATTTAGTAAGATAATGAATTATTGGCTTTAATAACTATCTTAAGATCAATTAATGTAGTAATTGATCAACTTAAGTCTCAATTATGAGAATGTAAAAAAATATGAGAATTAGACTCCGTTTGGTATAAATGAATTCAAAATATGAAATTTATTTGTAAATGAATTCTAGGAAATTCATCTGTGAATGAATTTTTATGTTTGGTATTATTTATTTAAAACATGTATTTCAATTGAATTACACATATCATGTATAAAATAAATTTATAATTGAAAATTCATTTGCTTTTGTTCCTAAAATATCCTTGAAATTGTAGTTTCACAAATATCAATTATGTTTATATTATGGTGTATAATTTTTTTATATTTTTAATAAAATAAATATATAACATAAAAACAATATAATAAAATTATGCATTTAATTTGGGGATAAATGTATATTTAACTTGAATCTCTCTCTCCTTAATAGTAAAAAAAAAAAATACTAAAAAAATAGTAAAATAAAAGATGAAAAATATTAAATTAAAAACACAATATTCAGAAAATATTTTTCAAAAAAAAAAAAAAACTTTTAAATGGTTTTGTTCAAGTTTGATAAAATAAGTAAGTTAAATAAGTAAAAAAAATTGAAAAATTGACTTTGTAGAAAGAGAAGGGTAATTTTGTCATACAAAGTTAGAGTGTTTAGTTTTGTGTAATTCATTTAGAAATTCCACCTATTTTTATAGAATTTGGTGTAGTTATGTTCATTTCGATCCTTTTTTTCATAGTAAACCCTTTTACAACAAGCTTAGCTTTACAAATCTTCACTTTTCCATCTACACCTCTCTTTTTCTTATAGATCCACTTATTTAACCCCTTCAGGTGGTTCTGCAAGTTTACAGACTTGATTAGCGTACATGAACTATCTCTAATTTCATAGTAACAAGCCATTTGTCGGCATTTTTATCCCATAGTGCATCATCGTAACAGACTGGTTTGGTATTCAACTCTTTATGAATTTTGTCATATGACTCCCCTAAGAGTGTATATCGAATTGGCTTCCATATTCCTCTCCCACTACGATGAGACACATCCTACCACACCTTCATTATAATGTGGTTCTAAGACCAGCAAATCTATGATTAGTGATGTTACCGTGTCATGGTTAGAACCCTCATCCTTGACATCTCCTTCACCACCTGTTCCGAGTAGTGGAATGTCAACAAGGACTTCTATTTGTGGTATATTCTTATCAATATTGTCTGTTGTAGTTTGAGCATTACTCTCGCTACTCTGTTGCTACAGTGGAATGTCATGAGCTACTACTTTAAGCAATTGTTGATCAGTTAGTCTATCAACATGTCTCCCACTATAACGAGGTAATGGAATGTCAAATCTAACTAAAGGTGGTTTAGGTTCTTGGACTCTATGAAGGCCATCTATAGGTACATTATCCCCTCGCAATTCTTTCAAGACAAGCTGACACTCGAAAATATGGTTATTGATATAGTCCTCTTATAAATAATAAGCAGTGATGCTAACAATGACCTTATTTGCCTTAAGACTATAAAATAAACCACCTTTCGTACCTTTAGGATACCCAATAAAGAAGCACAATTCTTTTTTCAATTCCAGCTTATTCGCCTTCTCATTCAATGCATGGGCTGGACACCCTCACATCCAAACATGTCTCAGACTAGGCTTATGCCTAGTCCACAGTTTTATAGGAGTCAAGGGTACTAACTTAGATGGAACTAAATTCAAAATGTACGTTGCTATTTCAATCGCATGTCCCTATGACGAAAGTGGTAAATCTAAATAACTTAACATAGATAATGTAACACCCTCCGCCGAGTCCCGTGAGACCCGACGACGGATGCCACATTCGGTGCCGGAGACACTGTCTTAACTTAATATACAAATACTTAAATATGATTATGAATTAGAAGTAATTGAGTATTCACAAGTGTAGCGAGTAAATTTTTTTTTTTTATAGATAATCATTTCAACGAGGGTAGATTGGAAATGTAAAATCCATAAAATAACGGTGGTTTTACGGTTTCTTGGATCTCTAATGAAAGGCCATCTATAGGTACAATGGGTAATTAATCACCACCGCCGGGGTCGCAAAATTCTCTTTTTTCAAGGAACAAAGCTGACAACCCGATAAAGAGGAACTAAAACGCGAAAATATGAGATGTATAATGATAAATAGTTCCTCCTTAATAAATAGAGATAGTAGCAGTGGATGCTACAAGCAATGACACATTTATTTTGCCTTAAAAGGACTAAAATAAAAATGAGAACCAACCTTTCGTACCTTTAGGATACCCCAAGAAAGAAGCACAATTTCTTTTTTCAATTCCAGCTTATTCGCCTTCTCATCTCAATGCAATGGGCTGGACACCCTTTCCACCAAACAAAACAAATCCAAAACATGTCTCAGACTAGGCTTATGCCTAGTCCACCAAGTTTTAT